TCTGTTCGAGTTCATGCTCTGGTACATGCAATCCTCGCCTCCAATCCACGGTTACCCTCTCTTTTCTCACTCGATAGTAGTTGTGCGGAGTAAAAGGGACAACTCAAACGGGAATACGGATTTTCTTTTAATATACATCAAGGGCCAAGGCACGCAAAAGGTTGGGTGTGCAGGGTAAGCGAAGAGGCTACGGAGCAGGATGAAAACAGGAGGAGCCTGGCGAGGAGAGCGCTCTAGAACGTGGCGGCAGCGCCGGCAACTTGTAAAGCTCTTAGTTGCCATTGTACTGGGCTCCGGCATTGCTTCAAAGCTCGCAGTGATGCATGGAAAATGATGGAGTAAACGGCAGGTTCCTTAGTAACGTCCCCGTTTGTCCGCGCTCTTTCATGAGATACTTGAGTTCGTCTGCAGCTCCCCACTGCAACACAGTATCCACTTCCTATTAGCCACTAGGGTTGACAAGGCGCCACGGAACATGAGCTAAAATAATGGTGGCATTTTTTGGGGGGAAGCGTGAGTCTTTGCTGGTTTCTTGAGGTGAAGATACATGAAAAGCATCGTGAGGGGGACGACGATAAACTCAGTATGATATTGGCTCTTCCGCTGAGCTCCATGGTCGAACAAAGGAAGAAAAAACTTGCCGCCCACCATCTGTGGAACAAATGGTGGGCTGTAAGTTATTGTTCCTGATAAAAGCTTTTTGCCTAAAATCGCTCACCTCATTGCGGCATGTCGCATCGGCGTACTCCTGCTGGGTGCCGCTAAGCATGTAATAAATCACCTTGCTTTCAATCACACTGTAGAACTCACTCATTGGATGTGTAGGAAACAGCACCAAGGCAGCAATAGCTACAGCAGCCGTAAGCAGGTTCTGAGCATTCACAGTATCATCACGATTCCGTGGAGGTGGTGTACTGACTCATCGCGTCGTGAGTAAGTTCGACAGCAAGCACTACGAACTTCTACTGACGCTTCCTCGACCTCCCGCAGTTGCAGAGCAGGTGCTCCGCGGCCAGGGCGGCTGTTCAGTATGTCCATCACTTTGGGGTTAATTGTTAGAGACTATAGCGTATTCAGTGTGGAACGAGCACAAAGCTGCAATCAAACCTAAAACTGAAAGCGATGGAATTTTCTTTGAAATCGGTACCGCGACTAATAAAAGCGCGGCCTGTGTTGGTAGAAAAAGTGCCAGTTATAAAATCGCAGGTGATAAGAGTGTCAAAGAGAAATTGCGAGCGGTTAGGAGAGACATGTTTGCTTCTATCCAGCAGCCTTCGCAGCCCGCAGTGATGTAGCAAATACAAGTAATGCATCTGCAAAGAGGCGTAGTACTTGGGAGTTAAGGTCCAACGTGTTCTGCAGTTACGCCCAATGCTGGCCTGCGGCAAGAAGCACTGCGGTTGCATCCAGAGGTTCCGCCTCACGCCCAGGCAGCAAGTGAGAGACATCACGGGGGCAGACGGGCGTGTCAACAGAAACCTAAACATAAATCGATGCTGCTCATACGTTTTTAACGCTTAGCGATGTCTTCAGTGACTGGCGGTAGGTATGGTCCTCCGTCATAAAAAAGGAAGGGCACGTGAGAGCCATGCTGGGCTGAGCTGACTCCACAGGTTCTACGTAACGGACGTTGTCCAGAAAAATCTAAGAAATTAAAAATCAAAATATGTACAGGTACACTAGGTAAAGATAAATACCATGTGGAAAGGAAAAAGTGAGATAGTGAAATGAGGATAGCAATAATTAAATACGTGAACACTCAAAAGTATGTGAAAAGGAAGGCAATTACTGACTAAGTGAGCAAGTTTATAGAGAGCTAGCTAAAAGGAGGCACGTATAATTCTGTAACTTGAAGTACTCAGCACGTGGATATCAGTCGAAGGTGACAGAAAGAACAAGCAGATGCGACTGGACTATGAAAGAAAAGAGGCATCGGTTAGAGGAAAGGGGCGGTACAGAGGAAGTGGATAGCAACTCAAATAAAGAATAATGCAAAGAGAAGCAACAAACAGGAAGAACGCATATGAATTAATGGAAAGAACATCAATTAGGACTAGAGGAAAGAAATAGAACACTTGCATCAGCTCCGGTGTCGGTTGGCCCGATGTAAGAGAGGGCTCTAGAATGCAAAAAACAGTTTACATAGGAACGGTTTAATATGAGCGTGCTCTTAAGCAAATACCCACACTACATGATGACACTACTAATCGGGCACACTATGCAAGAGGACTGAACCTGACAGAGAAAGCTTGATGTCATCGAAAGTGTTAGGATTTATGGATATGACTTGTCAGGATTGGTTGTGCTGGCGAATCAGCGACCGCCGCTACGGAAAACACACAAGCAGATACACAGCAGCTGAAATGCAGCAGCTGATAACAGAGCAGCCAGATGTTCACCTCCCCTGAGTCCTAGGCATGCACGTTCAAATTCTGCTTCGGCTTCACCCTAACTTGCTCCAGTAATGTTCTCAATTAGCTATTCTTTTCTGATTGGGGTCAGACAAAATGGGCAAAATATCGGACACAGTGGCGCATTTCTACACGCTTCGTGTACGAATCTGCCGTAACCCTGATCCGCCGTAAGCTTTTACTCCTTGACATTGCTATACTGAGAACCAACAGCAAACGCGCTCAAAAACTTGGAAGTCCCATCAGCTTAGTTCATGATTGCAAACGCTTACGGCTCTTCAACGTTCTGTATCGTGACCCCATGTTCAGTGTTCACTGCAGCTCCTGCCTCTTGCCAGGATCTAGACGGCTGGCAAATTTACTCCATCAGAATGAGCATACATTCAGAGAGACCAACTTCGAAGAAGTTCGATAGCTGTTGACGGTACACAATGAACAGAGCAAGAAAGAGCCCGGCTACCTACTCTACAGGATCTGCGCTCCCTGTTAGACTAGGCAGTTTGCCATTATCATATTCCGGAAGCCCGGTTTATCTAGGAGCTTTATTCCACCTTATCTGCTATCAAATCAAGGAATTTTTTTTAGTTAGCGAAGGTTGAACCAGTGGTCAAGTGCTCCCACTGTTAAATGCAGGCTTTCGAACATTCTGTGTAAACTTCAGTTTTCATTCAAGTACTGAGTATTCATCAAGCGTAGAGCTCTCTTATGTTAGTGGCAGTCTCGACTTTTACATCGATGCAGTCAGGTGATAGTCCCTCCCCGAGAAGCACAGCGCCTGCGTTCCCTGCGTTCTTGCTTGGCAGAAATGAAGGCGGGAGCCTTCTCGTTTTCGTGGATTATGGTTTGTTCTGCTCTAAAACACTTTCTAGGAATACTGGGTGACTGTTGACTTAAAATTGAGTAGATCGGTTGTTTTGTTAGGAGAGCTATTATGTTGTTTGTTTGGTGATTGTGCGCTTCATGCACTTGGAGGGCCTGAGTGGGCCTTGACCCATTTGTTTACCGCTGCCTATGTGTATGTGCGACTGATTCAGAGCAAAGCGCCGGGCTGCAGACAAGCTCTGAAACTGTCTATAGCCCCACTAGGATCATTTGATTTTCCCGGAACAGCCCTCCAATGTAAAAGCTAGTCCATGGAACACTCTTTCACGCTAGCATACCCGTTCTATTATAGATGCAAACTCGATCCTACTTCGCTGTCTTTCCCTAAGGCCTTGGGTGGACAAACGCACACACACACAAGCTCACACATACATACATACATACATACATACACGCATACGCAGACCAAATACACTTGAGTAGAGTAACGGGGATTCGTAGGTAGGAGGAATTGAGGTGTTGAGGTGTTCTATTTCTCGCTGCCAGGTCGTGTACCCAGACACAGACAGCTGGTAGAAGGGAGAATAGACATATCCAGAGATCCATGTAGCTTCAAAGTAGTCAGTTTAACTTGCTTAATAGTAATCTGGATGCGCAGGTTCCTTACCTTGAATTCATCTTTAGTGCCCTGCAACATGCCTTGTACTTCACCGCAATGCCACAAACGCAACGCATTGCTACTGCAGGACACACGTCTGTTTCAAGTAGGGTTCACCGCCCCAAAATGTTGAATGCTTCACCAGTAGTCGTGAAGCCCAGGAGCTAATCCACTGTGTCGGTGTAAAAATCGCATGTAGCTTCTGGTAATCTCACGTTTACTTTGTGAAGCTCAGCTGGAGGAAAGTTGCATGCAGGAGACTGCCACCATAACCACAACAGCGCCTGCTGATACGATGTTTGTCCACTACAAAACAATTAGCCGTTCAATGAGGGTTAACGAGAGAGCCAGCTGTTTGCTTTTGAGAGGCGTTCGTAACATGTCCCCAGGCTCCTTGCAGACATGTCGTCCGGACCACTAACGAATCTGTTACTTTGCCACTTTTTGTCGAGGATCGTGCAATAGTGCTCTGTATTCATGCTAGTTCATTGATGTAGAAGTCAATTCTGCACCGAATATTCGGAACTTGCCTTATGCAACGAATGCTGTAGAGAAGCTCTGCGGGGTAGAGCTCGGTGTCGTTCGTGTCCCGAGTCTCCGATCTTGAAGGCTGCACATCTGCATCCCTCCATAGGCCCCCCCGAAAAGATCTTTTCAGCTATAGCAAAAGTGTTGTTGGGCTCTGCGGTCAGCTTCCAATCCATAAACTGAGTGTGGACCTGTTTTGTGGTGCGTCTGCTATTGCGCTTTGGGGGGCCTACGTGCATCAAAGATGCGCAGTGGACACAATCTCGAGCAATTCTTCCGCACTTTTCTGCGTTTTTTTCCTATGAACATGCATGAGGCTACTCTTTAAAACTGGTGGCGGCTGAAGCGTGAGTCTAAGTGCGCGGTAACACTCGAAGAAGGAGAAAGTCGATGTTTCAAGTGCGCCATCTCTCAACAAGTGTACAGACGGCGAGTGCGCCTAGCGCCAATGACGAATTCGTGGTTGTAATCAACGAAGATGTATTCTTGTATAATGTTCACGATTTTTGAAAAGCAGTGAAGCTAAATCTGAAAAAGTTAGGGCTTCGGCTGCACGGACGTGAGGGCCATCTGTAGGCCTAATGGACCCGCAGCCACATGCGCAGCTCAGGGATGTTCTGCCATCCTCTGTTATCACTGATAAGAAAACCAATCTGCATCTGCCTCTGGAAAGGGTCCACGGCTATGCTGATGGAGCTCTTCCTGCCCAGCGTTTCAACGACGGGAGGCTCTTTCCTTCCTCCTGGGCCTGGCGTGTCGGCGCAGGACTCACTACCTTGGTAGTAGTGTACTTCCTGCTGCGTTGTTCTCGCTTGATAGGGTTTGAAAGGAAGTCGTTCCATCTGAGCCGATCCCTTGCAGCAGCTGCTGGTGGATTATGCAACTTAGAGAATGCACCAGGCGATGATAATGGAGGCTACAACGGGAGATTGCAGAACTTCACGGGAATTTCGGGGCAGCAGGTGCCACAGAATGGGTCTATTTTACGTCAGGATACGTCACACGGACCCCCCGGGATAGCGCAGGAGGAAGCAACAGATGAATTTCTAGAGGACATGCTTGATGAGGATGATTTGGATGAGGCTGACTTTGATGACGCTGTCTTGGAATCGCTATCGGAGGAGTTTGATGACAGTGACTTGCACTTGTGGGAGAACCGGCAACTACCTCCAGCTTTTAAAAGGAGGGTGGTTACTGTTATGCGGCAAATGGCAATGGCCTCAAAGTTGTGCAGTTCGCTGTTGCCAGCGTTAACGTGTGCTCAACGCCTGCGCTTGACATTTCATGTATTGCGGCTGATAGCACTCGATTTGGGTGCCCTGTCGCTTGTAAAGGAGGACCTTCAGCCAAGAAGGGAAAAAGTGGGCGACTCTCTTATCAGCTTAGCTTCTCAGTGCCTTCAACAGAGCGGTGACGGGGTGAATCTTCAGGGTCGACGTATGGCTATCCGCGAGCTAAAAAGTCTATGTGAGGAGCTCAAGAAGCCGCGCCTCCTTCAAAAGGAGAAATCCCCGTTAAAGTACAAAAAGAAGATGATAAGCTTACTGGGGACTGCCGGCCTGGCAGTTAAGCTTTGCGTAGGCGCTTTGCAAGGGCTGTCAGAGTTGATGAGGGATTCCACAAAGCTGGTCGAAAGGATAGTAGGTCAGCAGGCCACTGTTATCGAAGCAATTTTCCGTACTCACTCTGATCACATTGCCAGAGACGGTTCACTTCGCGCACATATTGTAGGATCTCAGAAACGCGCAGGCGTGTTCCCGCTTCTTGGCCGCTATCATATGCACGTGTCCAGAGCCTCTATTGCTCCAGTAAAAGCCTTGCGAGAACGTTTAATTGACGCTGCTAGAAGTGCTGGGGGCCTCCTGCCACCGCGGCGGCCATGTATTACATACTGTCGTAGCGACAGTAGCGTGTTGGCGGGAGCGCCTCTACAGATGAGCAGTCATCATACGGAACTGCATGGGTGGCTTAATCAAGAAGCACTGCACAGAGAGTTTGCTTTAGCAGTGCAAGCCTCCCTTCGGTCGACAGATTCCGCAGTGACCGGTGGTGCTCATACCGGGCACTTACCAACTACATATCCACAATGGCAAGCTGGCCAGACGTCTACGGAAGGTATTGGGCCAGTTATGCATCCCGTACCGCATCCATTCGTGCGCCGTGAAGGTAACCAGGTGCAATTAGCTCTGTCGCAGTTTTCTCATCCAGTGGCTGGAGTTCCATTGCCATGGACACAGACTCCAAGACCGGCAGGTGTTGAGGCGGCTTTACCGTCGTTGCCGCCAACTCTTCCCCCAGCAGGTCCCCAGCATCTCGGAGCCACCAACTATTCGCAGGGCTTTGATCCTCCCGTTTCGTTACAGTGGGGCACATTCCATCCAGATGGTTCTGGTACGCGTTTGCAGTCCGCTTCCCACCAATCGGACGGTGCTTTAGATGCGTCATCTACCAGTCCGTCACCACCCGCAGTTCCCGAAGTGGGCGAGTACAGCCTTTTCGCAGACGGGGGTGTACCCCCCTGGTCGCCATTTACGGGGAAGTTAGCCACCGTTTGTGATGGGTAAACAAGTGTAACCTGCGGTTGGACGCAAGGCCACAGCCACAGAAATACCCTCCATTTAGCGGAGGACAGCCACCGCAAAGCATGCGGTGAGCAGCTGGCTGAACTTCCAGAACGATAGCCGACAAATCAAAGCGTTAGGGCTCCAGGGCAAGGCGAAGTGAAGCCCGAGTAATCCATTAGTACGTGACTTGCCTCAGCAGCAATGCATGCGCTGTTATCTTGCACAGCAGGCGAAGAGCACACAGACTGCCGCGTACGCTGGTGTGAGGCGTCTGATGAATGAAGGCCTCGTGTCATAGTATGCGTAGTGGAACTTCCACCGAATGTCCTGTGGCTTTGCTCTACTGTTTTTTTCCTTTGCCATCTCTTTGTGTGCTAAAAATGAGCAATCTTTGTCTGGAACATCTGCCGCTCTATGAATGGTGAAAGGACTTTGCCGCGAGCTGAATTAGACAGCAGCCTGCGTTTTTTTTTCAATTTTGGTTGTTATGCAACCACACTAATTGCACGATTTAGGCAATTAGTAGCGCGCTTGCTTGGGGTTACCTGCAGCGATGTTGAATCTGCGCTGCCTTGGGCTGGCAATCAAGTGCCTGGTGAGACGAGGCACTCGTCTCAGGAGGCACTTGATTTATCGGGAACTTGCGTTTCCGCTCTTTCCATGGCCAAGACGACAGTGGAGCATCAGGGCAGCCTTTACCAAGGCTTCGCGCCTTCTCTCGCTAGAGATGTACAGCGTCGCCGCCATGTCGAGCGAAAGATGGGGCTGCAATGGCCCGCCGTTCTAGTTTACACAATAAACAAGGGTAAACTTTCAGTAGAGTCACATGTAGCAAAGGACCGGCAAAGAAAAGCGCCGGTATAATAAATCGTGCATGAACGCTCTACTTATCAGGGAAGGCGTCATGTGAGGCTCTCCAGCTTTTGACGATAGTTGCAGCAATTGCGAATGGGCCGGGAACGGTTATTCTGGCCACACGGAAATGATATCATTGTTTAAATTCAAAGTAGACATTAGAAAGGTTTTACCATGTTGAACGCATGTGTACTTTGGAGGGAAATCTTCGCACGTAGTTGGCTCTGGGGATTCTCTGAATTTGCTCTTCAGCCCAGATTATCATATTCGAGGTTAGTTGCCTGTGAAGCGTAAGCATTGATGCTACTTCTCGCCTTTAACATATTTAATCTCCATGATTTTGTCTGGACACTTGTAAACTGCGCGCTGAAGAGCATACGAAGCTGTGCAGTGCCCGTTTTTCGCTCTCCCTGCACTTTGCCAAGTAACCAAGCATCCAGCACCACTCCCTGTGATACATTCCTGCGCACCATTATCGATACTCTTTGGGCACAAAATCCGCGCGGAATGAGTAACAGCTCGCGTGCGTTCGACATGGCAAAACCTCTCTAATGTCTAGGCGTTGCGGCGGTTTACTGGTAACAGGGATTACTGCAAGTTTGTGAACACACGGCGTATCCACAAACTTGCGGTAATCCGTTACTGGTAATAGCGTGCCCTTTGGAGTGCGCTTGCGTGTAGCGAATTTCAGTGCATACATCTGGGAGCCAGTAGAAAATACTGCAGTGAAACTTCGAGAACTAGAGTGAAGAAGGGTCCTCCGTGAGTGTCTATTGGGCATGGGCTAGCTAGTTTAATGCCTCGCCTTTTACTATATACCTGTCGCTGCTTTTTGCCAATGAATGGAGTCCCTCACGTAGGAATTTACCAGCTTGCTCCTTAACAACATCATGAAGAAAAATCCTGATATCAGGCTGCCTGGAAATAAGTTACTCGTTGGTAAAGCTTGCGGGTCTCACTAGAGCCAATCACGGAGGAGAGCAACTAGGAATGGGTCAAGTTACCGGTGTTCGTTATACACAGCAGTACAAGGAAGAGTAGCTCCTTACGCTATTCGCGGAGTCCTCAGCGTCCACGCTATTCTCAGGGCCAGTTACTTTGTGCACCCTACTGCCTCTAAAGATGCAATAAAATTGCTGTTTGTGAACCTGACCATATTGTCCGCTGTGTCGAGTGTCCAAGGGTATCAACTTCTCTTCGATAAAGAACACAAAAAGAAGAATGTGGCAGAATAAATTCGTGGCTCTGAGAATAGCTTGGACGCTGAGGACTACGCGAATAGCGTAATGAGCTGCTCTTCCTTGTACTGCTGTGTATAACGGAAACCGGTAACTTGACCCATTCCTAGTTGCCTTCCTCCGTAATTAGCTCCAGTAGATGCTTTCAACCTGCAGGACGTAGGGGCTTAGAAGTGCAAATCATGATATGCAGCTGCCAACAAAGCCTCGTCGCTCTACAAAATGCATTGTCTATAACAAGGAGCTGGTGCGTTTTAATGAGCAAGTCTCAACCCACAACCCATGCTTGTTGCTTCCGAAATCGACCTCGCGTTTTAAACTTTTCTGTGGAGTAGGGAGTTTCTTTTTATGCAGGGCTTCAGATTTGTTTGCGTTTGTTTTATCATCTTTTCAATATTGGTTCATCATCACCTGCTTCTTTTTCGCTCTTCCTGCATTCACCTGAGCTGTATGTTTCTACTTCAACCAATAATCTTATGACTTCTGACTACAGTGAATTAATGAATGGCGCACCTTTGACTAACTGGAAAAGCTACCCAGCAGATATCGCTGCTGTCTGGAAATTGATGTATTTGTCACTTTCTTAGTGCAAAAATGTCATTTTGTAGCGCGTTGGTATAAGCAACAAAACTTTGAGGTCTCACAAGAAAGAAATGCGACCACAAAATATGAGCTTGTCTCAACTTCAGATGAAAACTCTTATTGTATTGACTTTCATGTCAAAGAATAGCAAGCGCTGCACTATAATTGAGCAGCTAGAAGAAAGGCGGCAAAAAATCAAAAGAGTGCGAATTCACGCTAGCGAATAGCTCCACTGGCATGCTTGGGCACTCACCTTCTCTAAAGTGAAGAAGAACTTGATAGTACTTGAATATGGGAGCAGTAGAAGCCCAACTGGCGCACCTGACAATCGTGCAGGGCAGACTGACTCACGAATACTTAAAAATGTGCGTCTGGGAAACTGAAAAACAGGCAGGGTCCACTTTTGAATGAACGCCAGCCTCTTCAAGCTCGTTAGTCGGGTGTCAAAGAACTAGCACTTAAGGGGTTAGCTGGAATCAATCCAACATACCTTCCAAAAAGCAATTAACGGGCTCCGTACAATGCTAGTTGTGGACATCAAGGAAATGCCCTTAGCAGCCTTCTGACTGAATGCTGTTTCGTGCTCGTATGGTAAGCGAGGCTCAAAGCCCGATATCAGGCTCAAAATGGCACCCTATAGCTGGCCAGCTGGCACAAACGCCCCAGAGTGAACCTGAAATCAGCTAGCGTCTTAAGACGCGACAACCTCTTGCCAAATGCTACTGTATATGAAACAGGACAAGTGATTGTCTCCGGCCCCTGGGCTCGCTAGCCATTTTTGCATTTGCGCTACCATGTGCTAGCTGCCTTCAACAGTAACAGCTCACAAAATAAATAACTATGAGGTCTTAACGCAGAGTCGTACAGTTGCCAGTACACATAAAGTACTCTACTTCACATTAATCTGAACTTTTCTGAGATGGGTTTAGGTCAAAATTATATGTTTGTTGCCTTTAGATACCGCTGGACCCTGAAATTAGCTGTGAATAATGGTGGGGACACTGTATGTGTTATATATTTTACGCGCACATATATATACTTTACTGCGCTAAATTTGAGACTGTTGGCGGAAAGACGTATGCTGCTTCGCACGAAAGTTTAACTGAGTTGCTTGCCTTCGATGAACAGCACGTTACGCTGCTATGTGCCTTATGATTTGCTGAATAGTCCTCAGCAATATGGGGAGGGACCCGTATCACCGTAACCCCAAGTGACTGCCTGGTTCTGCCCTTTGAGCTACCTTCAGCTTGGCCTTTTGGGTAGGTTCAGTCTACCCTCTTGGGTAGCTTCATCGTGTCTATTCTCAAACTTTCGGCATTCGGGGATCCCGGAGAACCCACCTGAGCGACGCCAGCGGAGCGCCTCTTCTTTGCAATCTGCGGGAAAATTCCCCATATGTAACGCTGGGAGCTGGTGAAGCAGGGATCACGTGCATCTTCTTCGTGTGCACAATAGAAACGCCTCGAAGGTAGGAGCAGCCACCTTCAACCGTATTAGACTCACAGAGCTTCTGAGCTATTGTTTGCCTTCGTTGAGCTATTGCGTAAGATTCTATGCGTCTACTTCGAATCACGACAGAACGCTCACGCTCTACTGAGATATTTTTGATTTTATTACCAGTTTCGTAGTCCTAAAATTAATTGAATTTCGATCGAGACGTGTTGTTGAAACCGCCGCCGCAGGGTTATCGGGAACTTCGCTGCTAAAACGTAACTTTCCAAACGTCTGTTCAGTTTCTGAGTGGATTAAAGAAACATGCCATACGTTTGTGATATCCCTTTACTCTCTAAAACTCGGTATTCGCAGCCCAACCGTTCTGCAGCGCGGTTTCTGGCTCCTAGGTACAAGCCGTCTTAAATTTTACGTCGTGCATGGCAGTTTGTGCCGCAGAAATTTCTGAGGTTTTAGATATTAGCTTTTGGCAGCGTGAAGGCATCCCACCAGTTTTCGCGGTCAGAGCGATCTGCAATACGACCAGTTCACGTGTTAGGGGACTCCGAAAATTCACTTGTAAGAGACGAGTTCACACGCGCTCGGTAAGAATTTCACCAGACTTTAAACATGGTAAACGGATTGAAAGGATAAACATTGCGGATGTTTCACTGAGTACATGTGCAAAAGAGGCGCTGGAGAGCTTCAGTTTCGCTGAGGCGTAGGTGTCCCCAGCGGCATATACTCTAGTACTCTGAGAAAGCGCAAAACCAGCTGAATACGATTTACTTCTTTTAACTCGCAAAACTTCTGTTATGGAGCTAAGTCAAGCCTCCGCAGGCAACCCAAGTACACTTCACTGAAGCAGTTTCGTTAATTCATGCCGTTCTTGCCGCAAAGCGGCCTCTGATAATCTTAAGAAAATTTTCTAGCTACACTAGGCGACATAGTAGTATACAATGTGGAGCATGCTGTGAGGCGAATGCTACATCGCGGTTAGCCAAACGATGAGAGAACACACTCTTACGTGCATCCCGTGGCCTACTTATGTCTGCCTCTCTTGAGGGCCTTTAGGAACATCCACAGAAATGACAATTGCAGGTCAGACCCAGCATTCATGTTTTGAGTGCAATTTGGTTTTGTTGGCTTAGTATTACCCTCAGCCCCATGCACTGGCACTCTCTGGGCCCCAGAGATTCCCTTGCATCCAAGGACAAGTAGAATCCACCTATGAGAAGAAAATTACATCGGCTATGGATTTCTTTTACTCTTTTTGCCTGAACTCCTGTGCATGGACATCTACAAGAGGCTGGCCTTCCAGACTTGCCTGGTGATCTTCCCTAGTCTGTACCGTACTGGATGTGAGTACCACGTTGTGGCGCCTTAAATTCCCCGTTTTATCTTTTCTTCTTGCCTCTCTGAAATTTCCTGGCATTTTAACTCACTCCAGCTCCCACACGCCTACGCTTTTGGAGTGGAAGAAAACGAGCCATCGCTCCATTTTATCTGCAGAAAATAGGATCGAACGGAATTTGTCTGCGGCTCATGTGCTCTCCCCAATGTAACTTCTGATGCACACGAACTAATACACGGACGGGCAACCTGATTGGAGAGTAGTGTACTACGCTGTTTGCTGGCAAGGTTTCACGTGGCCCTTAAGATTCAGTGGGCAATTCTTTTACATAGCAATCCCCAGACTTGTAATCAGTGGCATCATTGTGGACTTGTCTTCATGACATCTACTGGGGGTGGCACCGCCTCAGACGGTGCTGAGTTATCTCCCACCGTTGGAGAGTTGGATTGCTCCCGCTCCTGTTCTATTGCAACAGAAGTTCAATCTAGTGATGCAACAAGACCTTCTGGAAGTGTGTTTCTTTCGGGATCCCGCTCCCTTCATTCTTTGAGACGGCTGAAGGACTTAGAAGAGGAAGATGCCACACTTGGGACTTCACCGGGAGCCGGCCCCGCGACTGGGTGCTCCGCAGTGGACGCGGCAAGCGCACCTAAAGAGGAGGGAGCTTCAGAGAGTGAAGACGATACACTTGAGGTTGTCAGGAGCATGAAGGATTTGCAGCGTATGCGCGGAGGCCCACGTAAAGGTTTGGACGTTCGTGCTTCCCTGGAGGAAGCACGGGATGCAAACGAAGAGGAAGAGGCAGAGGACGCTGGAGGCCTTCTTGAGAAAAACTTCGCCTCAGGGGGTCCCGGATCTGCTACAGATAAACACCTGTAAGTTTACCTGAGAGTTTCATAGGGGCACTGGGTGAGAGACCAGAGGGTATTTTTTCATTCTATGCCCAGTGGAGGCGTTATGAAAATTTCGAACCCCGTTGATGACCGTTTCGCTCTCGTGTGCTTTTACGCGAATCAGAGAGGAGTTTCTGCGTGAAAGGTTAAAAGACAAACAACACGAAAGCCGGGAGGAGAAGGCTTTGAGAGAACACGACATGGTGGACAAGATGAGGGATTTGTACGCCATTCCGGATCACTTGAAGGTGACGCTGGAACACAGCACCCAAGGACACACTGACTTTGCCCTTTAGAGTACATCAGTCACAGCTGCAATAGTGCGGCTGCATCATTCATGCTGATAGGTTTGCACGGAGTTAGAATTTCGCACATTAGAAGACATGCTGCAGGTTTTGGGTTCCTAGTTCAATGCTTGTACGCTGTTATGGTTGGAGTGTCTGTCACAGGTCGCAGATAAGACAGAGGAGTACAAGGACCAGATGAATTGGGTCACAGGTCTTGTTGAGGTGGAGCTTCCAATGGAGTAAGAACACGCTTCGCTTCTGTCTAGAAGTTCTATGTTCACTACCAACCTATCGTGCTGCACTCTCACGAGAGAGTTTAGAACTTAGTTTATCAAAGAGGCGTGGGAGAAGCGGTCTTGCGATGTTAACCCATTATGCTAGCTCGATTGCTTTTTCACGGTGTGTGATGCAGAACAAAGCTCAAAAATATTGAGGCAACAGAGCGAGCAAAGCGCCAACTTCTTCGGAAAGGGCTTCTAGAGGAAGCGTGCGTGTCGCATTTGTATTTATGGACCTTTGTGTGCACTTTCAAGAGTACAGATGCTTGGGTTGATTGGATGGTGCAAATTCTTGTGCAGTACTCGTGAAGGGCCTTCTCTTGTGGTGCGTTGAGTTTGAGTGTTGGGAGTGCCCTGCTGCACTGTTTTCTTAGGGAGGAGAACCCCGAAGACCCGGATGTCGTCCGCAAAACTGCATTTGGCCAAAGGTATACATGGTACATACCGGATTATCAGTTCCGGAAGAGGAATGGTCAACAGGTGAGGCGACAAATGCACGGGTCTCTCATTTCAGCGCTAGCTGTCACTTGCTTGTCTCCGTTTGAGCAGCCTTCAAAGCTCCGCGAATGCGTTGCGGACGTTCCCTCCTCGGCACGTAGGTTAGTACGTTTTTTTAGCAAGCTCGGGAGCTAGCGTGTGGGCTCACTTCAGGCGCAGAGGGCCCGTGACGGGCACGAAGTCAAGCAGTTTGCCAAGAGAACGAAGCGGATGAACGAAGGCAGAGGTAGAGTTGGCGTCGCTCCTATGTGAGACCCACCAGGGGTGCGCCTCTCAAATGATTACCACATACACAGCCAATACCACTGCAGCGGGGTGCTAATCAATGCTTGCTGGCGTGAACAAGCCAGAAACCGTCTCAACACAGAGGAAGTTAGAAGTGTCATCTTGCTCGGGTCGTTGCAAGGCAGACACTTTCGAGAGCTCTAGTGGAAGCCAAAACGAGATGGTCTTGGAAGGATATCCTGATTGTCTCACGCCAGAGCATCTGGGGGGAGCATTTGGGGAAATGCTTCTCTGTTGCAGTGTAGAAGGCAACGCTCCCCTCAGGTTTTTACAACGGCAAGCGCAAAATATTTTTTATTGTGGATTTTTTTAGAAGTTTTGGATGTGTACAGCGGCCGGCGCAGAATTTCCATACTCCACAGTGCGACATTGCACGGAGGAAGTACTAGAGGCTGCATGGGCCCTACAGAGAAAACATTAAAAGAGCAACGGAGGCCTCCAGAACGCAGTGAAAATTGGCTTGATAGTGAGGCTTGTACGCAACAATTTCAAGTCACTCAGGGAAAATCTTGTAGTAAAGGATGCGAGCCGATGCTTGGTTTGGAAGTCGATTTTCGCTTGCTAAGGGTGCGTTATCAGCGCCTTATGGCCCCTGGTTGCTTTCCGCTGCAGTATGTAGGGAACATTTATATCCAGTGAATATACAGGCTTTGGTACCACAACACAGGGCAGCGGACTAACAATTGGCGGCTTGCGGCTTTTTTGGGGTAAGAAGGCTCATGCGTAAATCATTTACCAAAGTAGGTACAGAACATATCAAAGATTTGGAGCAGCCATTGAACCAGACAGGTTAGCTTCACAGCTGGAGTAGCTTGGGTCAGGAAGTTTTGAAAACGGGGCATTCAAGTGAACAGCAAGATACACCATAAACTTGCGCAACTAGGCTGAAGGGATAGCTTCGGGAAACGCTTTCCACAAAGGTTCGGCAGCTATTCAGGCACAAGCTACTGGGGATTTGCTGGGACTTTTAAAGTACAGGCTACGTTGAACATTCCTACCTCGTTTAGATAGCAGGTATCTCTCAACTGAGACGTTATGTTTTTCCACCGAGGTGACCGCTGCAGCTCGGGAGTTGCAGAGTTTAGTTAGTCGTGTGTGGTGGATCTGGTATTATTCGCCCCAGGTCCATGACATATTGGTGCGCCCACTAAGAGTGCGCAGTGGAGTGGGCTTACTAGGCTGCAACTGTAAATTTGAACAAGCTCCCTCTCCGCAACCTAAAATGTAGTCCGGTGCAGGTAAACGTCATGGACCCTTAATAATGCGTCCTGCCGGGGAACCTGAAAACGCTGGGTGAAGTAGAGAACACGAACTGGCGTAGCCTATGTCGCTTGTACACTGGGACGCGTGGTGCCTGGCCTATGCAAGCAACATAGACCAGATAAAGCCCCACTTAGCTGAAGCCTTTTGGAACTTCGGCAAGTGTTGAAGACTCGATTCTCCATATCCCGCTTCTCAGACGTAAACAGACAACCAGCGCAAGCATACCTACGCAGACACCTGTGTGGGAAAGCAAGTGGAGCTATGCATATATTGTTCAGCATGGGGTCAAGAGCCTTCTTAAGCCCAAAAAAAGCCACACGTTTATCTGCTGACCGCGTGGCAATGCCAAATAAAAGAGCAGCGAGTTATTAAGGCTTCCCTATTCAATTTTACCATATCCACATTTGCTGAGGCATCTCTACAGAAGGGAATGACAGCAGTACTTCGCTACCGTAAAAAGTAGCGAAATTTGCAAGCTACCAGCGATCGCGTCCCCATAGTCCGGAGACCGGGTGAACATTCCAGAGTATCTTCCGCTACTGTTCCTGGCTTCATGTTCTCCATAAAGAAACTCTCAGAGCAGTAATTTCGCAGTCGGAGAGCGTTCTGTGCTGAATTCTCCCCGGCGTTGTTTTCAGTTCGTGTAGCCAATGCGCGCCCAGCGTTTTCGCTAGTCGTCCTGCTATTAGAAACAATTACTGCACATTTCCAAGCGTATGCCTTTCAATTGCGGTCATTACAGGATCCTAAGAGACTGAAATAGCATTATGGACGACCTCGCCTTCTGAGAGGTGCTGCACCCAACCGAACTACTGAGATGCGTTCCACAGAGCTACACAGGCGTGGGAAATTTGACTTAAAAAACTCGCTGTACTCAAGAGAACATGTTCACCAGATAACTACGGGACTCTAAAAATGGTCCCGTATGGCTGGGGAGGCCAACAAACTAATGCTTCTGTTGAGCATCTCACGATGGCGTGCCCTTTCCAATACGTGGCATTTATTTTATACTTATGACTTGGACGAGTCTAGCTAACAGAAGCCAAGTGGCTTGCGAGGGTTCCTTCATGTTCGCATCGAATGCACCTCTATACCCCGAGAGTGTAGAGTAAGCCGGCGTTGCTGCTTCTTTCGCTCCTGCTGCCAATCCTCCTGCTGCAGTGATAACTACCTAGGATGAAAATGAGCAATAGGCAAAAGCCCAGATACGCCAAGAGTCGTTCCCAAGGTAGCAAACAGAGGATTAGTCCGCTGTGGCCTGCGCCTCCCCCCACGGCATCTCGAGTGGCTTTCCTGCACTCTTTCGGTCGTCTCTGCTTGACCCACACATAGCTCTGCAGGCTGACTCACGAAGGGACCGCCGCCAGGCCTTGATCTGCTTCCTTCTGATACAACTGGTCGTCCTTGCAGCGAAGAAGAGCTTCCCAGAGTTGCGTGTGGGGCCCTCTCCGAGAGAGCTAAGGGTCTCCGGCTGCCTACAGATAATCGCGGATGAGCTTCCAATGCTTGATGTGGGGCCCCTGATGTGATGAAGCCACTTCCAGTGCTCTGACCGGTGCTTGTGTTCCTTGCTGGTACACCACAGCCTGTGAAGCGTTTCGCGCGCTGCGCCCTCCGGCGCCTTGTAGATCTTTCAATCGCATTCATCCTTTCTTGATGCCTCCCCCTTAGCGCAGCGCCTGAAGATATCCCAGCTACAGCGCCCACGATTGCGCCCACTGCTGCTCCAATGGGACCCCCAGCCACAGCGCCAACACTAACGCCAACGAGAGCAGCGGCTCCGCCACCTTGTACACCCCACCAACGTGTCTTGTTGCGTGCTGCACCAGCCAGCTCTCCCACTCCCACTGCTGTGTGTTCTGCTGCAGCTTCCACTTCCTCTTCTGCAGCATGCAGCAGGTGGGAGCCCCTTTCTACGTCTGCTGCAGCATGCAGCTGCAGATCCCGCAGCACAGCAACGCAGCGTTCGACGTGCTGCAGCTGCTGCAGTTGTTCCTTCCTTTCGCTGATAATCTGCTGGGTTTCGTAGTCCTCATGCACTTCCATCAAAGAGGAGCGTTGACAGAAGACGTCGCTGGGAAAACCATTTGCAGTGTCTCTCTGCGCGTCTCGAGGTCCAATAAAGAGGGGTGGAAGATTCCCCGCACAGCTGTGCGGCCAGACTCTGCTTTCTACATCCTGTACGCCGCAGCTATTCGAGCCTACGGATGGACTAGCCACTTGGCCACCCTCTGGGTCCCACAAAATGCCTTCGGTCTGGCGCCGTCTACCGTGGGCCTCGAAGTGATACAAATCAATCGGTAAGCTGCACGGAGATCCCTGGTGGCTTCCATGCCAAACAATCCGAGCAGGGGCGCCGTCGGGCAGTGATCCTGCTGAGTTCCTTCCTGCACCCGCCAAAGGCGCCCCAGTGCGGAGGCTGTTGCTGTTGCAGTCGCTTATTTTCGCCTGAGGCGATACAACGGAAGTCTTACGTAACAGGTCAGCACAAGCGTTCAGGAGTCGCAGTAACCGCGAATACTGCTGCTGCTGCTGCTCGAAATCGCGGCGCAGTTTGGAGAGCAGCAACTCGTCGCCCGCAGCACCAGCAGGCGAATTCAGCAGCAGTGAGCAAAGCCGTGCATGCAAAGAATGGCAAACGACAGCTCCTTCTGTAATTAACTGGCGCAAATTCCCAGTCTCATAGAGCTGTTGTTCACGTTTCTGTTGTCGCTGAGCCTGCTGCTGCACCGACACCCTTCCGTCTCCAAAAGACTCGGCCCATGAGCCCGCGTAAGCAAAGCTCGGTTGCTTTTGCTGCCTCTGCTGAGGTCCATCACCTTCACGTGATCCCTCTTGCTGCTGCTCAAGCTTCAGCAGCTCCTTCAACTGCCGCTCAGTCCGCTGCACGAAGGTTGCGTAGTCGCGCAGTAACAATGCAATATCAGAAGTCGGCAATGTAGGTTTGTCTGCATTGCCTTTGGTCTCACCTTTCATGCTGTTCCCATTACTGCTGCTGCTGCGAGTATTGGCATTGCCAGGACTCCTGCTTTCACGCGGGCTTCTGCCGAGCTCATTTGAGACGAATGCAGAATGGCTCCCAGTCGTTGAGCTTGCTGGCAATGTCGAAGTCTTGTCGTCTTCGCCGCCATCGCCACTGTTGATGGCTGCATTACTGATGCACTTGCTTCTGTCGTTGCTGCCGTCGCTGCAGCCTTTGCTGCTACTGCTGCCGCTGTGACTGCCGCCATCAACAATGCCCCTTGCAGTGCCACCGCTGCAGCTGCCGTTTGTGCCCGTTATTTCGGTGTTTCCATCATTTGGACTGCTCTTCGATATGCGGCCAAGTATGCTGCAACTACCAGCATCGCTACCGTCGTTTCTACTGCTGCTGGAACAGCCGTAGTTGCTGTGAATGCTAAGGCAACTGATCGCGCTGGGCATATACTTGCGCATAGATGACGATTCATTCTTCACTCCCTGCAAATCTGATTCGCCAGCAGTCCGTGTAGCAAAGGCGTAATGTACGCGTCCTCTAAGAACCAAAGGCCCAGTTCCTGGGCGCTGCTGCGACTGAGCATGCTGCTGACAGTGGCCATTCTGCTGATCCCTCTGCTGTAAGTATTCACTCGCAGGCTTCTGGGTTAGCTCTGTGGTATCAGTTGAGTGCTCAGCGGCTTCCGTTCGATCAACCGTGGTCGCCACAGCAGACGTACTCGCAGGGCTACAAGTTGCTGCCGCAGGTGTAGCCGACAGAGCACTGAGAGCTGTACCCGTTACAGTGCTCTCAGCAATCACATACTGCATTATAAGCCCCTTGAAACGCAATGCCCCACGACATACGCCACAACTGGTGGCACTCTTGGCTCCCCTGTAATCGCTGACCACACCGCGGCATGGGGATGCTCACAAAATTCCCACTGCATATCCAATTCCAATTATTGTAACTGCGTTTCACAGACTTTTTGTCACGTTGTGACAATCTAGGCTGAAGAATGCTCTTGTAATCAGACAGATGCTGCGCAGCTGATGCAGTCGTCCGGCCGGCTTGCTTCGATGGCGAGCTGCCGTGGGAAGTAAGAAAGGCAAAGCTTCTTTGTGCTATAAAGTAGGGCGAATTTATGAGCGGAAAGTAACTAATAGTACAAGCTCAGTTCTGCCACCACACCATCCTGCCAGTGCAACACAGCGTGCGACTTTGCGCGAGTACGCTTCAGTAGCGGGAAAACGACAGTCGTGTCTTGATCTTTCCCACATATTTTCAGAAATAAACTCAATATTATTAACAACATATATGTATTTTGCGAATGTAGAAGGATGGGGTGTTCGCGCTGTTTTCATTCAGTTACATGCATGTAAGCTGGTTCCATGCGTTTCTCACCTCGGTGCTCTTGTTTGAGGCTGCTTTTTGCTCCTGCTACGCGCTCGTGCTGCATGCTGCCACTGCTTCCTGCTGCTGCTTGTTTTTGCTTCTTGGTGGTATTGCTTGGTGGTGCTGCTTAGGGGTGCTGGTTGGTCGTGCTGCCCAGTGGAGCTGCTTGATGACGCCGTTTGGTGGCAACAAATACAGCATTTGCAAATAAAGTACGCGACAGCATTCGGAAACCCGATAACAGAGATGCACAAACAAATTGCGACTGACAGAGAATCATTCCATCGCGAAGCAAATGAAATGGGCCAGGCAGGAGCAGCTAGAGTGACGCACGCAGCAGCGGAAGTGCCACCAGCATCAGCATCAGAGCACCTGTAGGATGCATGCTTATCCAAAGGTGATACAACAAGGGCGGAGAGACGCAACAACAGCGTACAGGGAATAGGAATGTTGTACTCCTTCAGTGAGTCAAATATTACCTCACCAGCGTGCACGCCACAGAAAACATTTCCTGTGGTTCTCCCTGCAGCGACAGCACGAAGAAACAGCAGGGCGGCGCTACTTTTGTTGCTGCTGCTGTTTCCGCGCCGCCGATGCTCCAGCATGCGAGATACAAAACAAAGCAACATCTGAAGAGTGCGACACAAATACATTTGCATCAGTAAACAGAAATACACGAAATCGCTAAGAGAGTATAAAAGAAGAAGATAGCGGCTAGAATGGCATTCTCAGCAGCCGAAGCTTCAGCAGCATCGGCAGCAGCAACCGCTCCTCAAGTTGCGGGGAAACATTTTCGCCGCGCTCGTCAGTGCGAAAGCATTTGATGCAATGGCTGGGATTTAGCAGAGCATGGGGCTGGATACGATTGCAATCAGACGCACATGGACGTAGTCGTTGGGTGCTTCGGGGGGTCCGATTGACGGTAGACTGATTTTAGCAGCACTTGCCCTTCGATATGACAGAAAAAATACTTCTTTTGACCTTCTCGCATTGTTATGCATTCATCAGTTCGAAGGAACTGCCGGTTTGTGTCTGGATGCATTTTTGCGCAGTTTGTCAACACATGGCAGAGCCATAGTGCAAGAACCCTTAGCTCTTGAATTCATATTTGATTGCCTCTTTTGCTGAACTTTCTCTTTAATGTCACACCCTTGGTAACTACGGTGGAGTACCCTACGTAATGTTGCCAAAAGGAACTAGACACCTTCAAACTCCATAGAGGCAATATGTAGAAAAGTAGCCGTGGTGCGTGAGACTGGCATGCCGCCTTCAAGGGTCAGCAGGTGGGAAGTGGCCTCCCAATGAGATCAGGTGATATGACGACTCTTAAAGAATGCTGCAGCCCTCAGTGATGAGTTTCGTGTGTGACAGAGGGGACTGGGCTGATTATTCAAACGTCAAAGAGTTTCTAGGCAAGGGTGCAGAACGATCAGTTCTTCTCAAGCTGCTAACTTGCATAGTAGTGAGAGTTTCCACAGCTATCAGCGCCTCTTTGGTGTCACCTCAGTCTGGGCGCCTGCAAGCGTCCGCGAAACAAAACGGTTTTAATTTCGAAAGTTATCCGCTCTTTTCAGCTAGTTCTCTATGCTGCCGTCCATTTACTTTCTCTTAGCACCAGCTGCCCGCTAAGGGCATCTTGCTGCTTCCGATTCACCAATAGTTCCACAGTCCTGAAACTTGCAGGCCACAATGGAATTTGTTAAACCTCCTTCCAGTCCAACTGGCAGCCCTTTATGCCAAACTCGTAGCTCTTCATCCTTTGTCTGGACGATTAGTGTTCCTTTTCCGTACGACACAATTTTTGTTCCACCACTTTTTGGGTACGTCGCTTTTCCTTTCTCCCTATCAATGCCAGTAATGACATTAAAACTTCTTTGCTCCTCCTTCGATTTCGTTACGTAACTTAAACCTTGCAGAGCAAGTTTCGTAGCTGACCAACCTTACTTACCTCGAGCCTCTCTATAACACGCCTTGCGATTAGTCAAGCAGATTTACACTAAAAATTGTGAGTGTATTAAGATGGAGCCAAATTTAGTTCAGGGCTAGCGTAGGATTTCCCAGGATAATATGCAGTAAAGGCGGGTATTGGCGCGTGACAGACCAGTAGCAGCTGCTACAGGACTGGCTCCGCAAGACTAGAGTGCCAGTTATCATTGTTCCTGTGACAACAGCTCACTGCTTTTCTGTTTCGGTCATTTATACAGTGTTTTTTGAGCGTGGACAGTGATCCCAAGGGCGTCTTGCCGTTAAAAAGGAGCACTTTGCACCGATGAAACGCGAGACTCACAGCAGGTGTAGATATCCGCTACGCATAAGAAGAGGTCTTTACAATTTAGATTTTGTTTCTGTCAGTACTTCCCTGAACGTGGAAATGCAGCAGTCAATGGTTCAGATTATTAGCTTGAGCTGACTGGGCTAAATTTGTCGAGACAGGGAACTCCGAGTAAGGTGAGTTTACTGGGCAGACAAAGATTGGCCGAGCTTCCGCGCCCGGGCTGTGACTATGGGCGACATTCTTAGAGCGTAAACTTGTGTATCGAAACTAGAAGTGGCCACGCATAATGTTATGCAGCTTTGAGTGCTCTTCGGTAGCTTTAACATATCCATAGTAGATGAGCGCAGTATAGGAATCATTACTGTAAAGAAGGAACTAATTCTTCCACTGCTGAAGCCAAAAGGAGAAGTTACACCGTGCTCCCGGCCAGAAGGTTATAGCGTTGTCAGGTCACATGTTGACGCGCAGGCCGTTTTTGCACTTCGCTTGCTTTTCTACCACGCACGTAAACTTCATACCAGTGTTATTCTTCATATACTATCCACACTGCAATCTACTTTCAAAGGACCCACGATGTAGCGTTCCCTTGGGAATCACCTCCTCTACAAAAAGGCTCGCTCTTACGGGCGCCTGTCATGAGTGGGAAGCTCCTTTGCCAGCTGATACACGAAGAGCAATAAAAGCTTCGCGATAAAAAGTGCGACATTGGTGGGGCAGAAGTGGTGTAAGGGAGCCGTCTTCAAGCCGTTACTTGTGCTGAACCACACTCAACCTTGTGTGTAGTGCCGGGCACTACAATTGACCTTCGTCACTACCCCCGAGTCTTACTAATGCGAAAAGCATGGATAATATCGAATATCTTAGGCCATAAGGCACCGTAGGCTAGTGGAAATTCATAAGAGCGAACAAAGAGCTCGCACCGGGTGCGAGGCTGACCACGAGGTTGGTGCCGCGACGCGACTCGGGCACTGACTCACAGCGAAGGTCAGCTTTCAGTTCTATTATTTTGGGTTTACACACCTCATGATAATATGAACTCAATTGTACGAGGTAAATAAGGTATTCCATAGTTGTCAACTAAAGTCAGGTACCTTCGACCGACAGTACCGAGTGACCGCCGTGTCGGGCTCGCTTAGGACTTTACGTAGTAACAGTGCGGACAGCTGTTCACTACATTGTGTCCCCGGCCCGGTGAAGAAATTAGGCCCAACAAAGGCTTTACGGGGAATTTTATGCCACTAGATATGGAAAATAAAACAGTTGGAGGAAAATATGATAGATTTTATTGTGAAAAAAGGTGGCCTTGGCGCTCATGTGAATGAGAGGTGACCACCCTCCCTGGTGTAACGTGTGGAGTACCAGTGATCTATAACATTGCTCTAATGCGGGAAGGCCAGCCATCACCACCTAGCACGGCCACTATTCTGGGATATCTGTGGGAAAAAACATCTAGCAGAAGAGTTGCACAGGAGTTTTCTTGAATCCACCGTGTGTGTTGGGCTGGTCAATCTCTGGCGGTGACCTTCCGCAGCCTCACACCTTCCCAACATCTCCTCATAACAGAGCTCCTTTTCCACACAGTACACCGAAACCTTCAGCAAGCTGCTCTGTCAGCTAGGACGTCGAGAATGGGCTCTTTCCTAACCTTCAAAAAACCCCTCTACAGTATGCCATATCCAAACTTGAGGGGTAGAGCCCACAACCCCTTTACCCCCTCAGATCCTGTTTCTCCACATAATTTGCTAAAATATTTCCCAGACCGGCTGAGCTAGGGAGCACTGGACCGGCAGTTATTGAGTTCACATACTGCCATCCACAAAAGGCCTTGCTATTCCCTATGTATCTCGCACCCTCAAAAAAGCTTCCACGCATCCAGACCCTAAATTCTACATGTAAACGCAACGACCCGAAGCCATTAGATAAAAGAAGACCCTGTAACCAATCACACAAATCAGCGTACCAATGGCATTCGCAAACTCCTACTAAACTAGCCTTCTCCGCAGGGAGTTTGCTTGTCAATCAAGACATTTCAAGGTGCTAACCAACCACTTAGTTCACTAATCTTCCCTAAGCTACTCGAGCACGTTGCCAAATGCCTCTAAATATATCGCTGAAGTTAGCATCCACAATCGCATTTACTATTCTGTCCTTTACAACCCTTCAGAGTTCACCACAAATTCGTTAAGACAGTAAGCCACATAACTTGAAATCGCTCAGACTTCAGTCACCCGCTGTCAACTCTTCTCAATATGTTGACAATACTGAAAGGCAGGTGACGAGTCTCTACGCGAAGGCATAGACACATGACGAGTTCAGACAAATTTCTTCTGTGCGGATTGATATTATTCCTTGTGTGCGCCGCACTACAAGCTCGTGTGTGTGCCTCTCTCTTTCTGTCGGTGTATACTCCATGGCAGAGTTCTCTCCCAAGCGACTTCGAAGTATCATGGCAACAACCGCCTCCGCATAAGAATCATCCGCACAACAATGGGCGTCTTGGTGCCGCCACTTTATCTTCAATAGCCAAAGGACCACACAAGGCGAATGGCATTCGCACCCGCTTCTTCCGCAGCGTTTTTTGCCTCGCCATCACTCCTTATTTCATGGTGAGAAGCAAGCACAAAGAATAATGGAGCGCTGCACATTGAAAATACCGGATTTAAACGTCTAGAGGCAAAAAGAACGTCGCCCTACGTTAAGGATTGCCTCTAGCCCTGAAATTGAGCCATGATGCTGCAAACACCACAGAACAGCACATACAAGACAGTTTGTTAGTATTCACGTGATAGGAAATATGACGAGTCCTGCGTACAATAGCAGATAATTTGAGCCTCCATAACATACTTAGAGACCAACAAGAGCTATGCTGTACAAGTGTGGCCATTCCTTCGGAGCGGTATTCAAATGGAATGCCCAAGCATCTACCTGACAAGCCTCTAATTCAATGGGCGTGAAAACTGTAATAAACAGACGGAGGGGCTCAACTTCTTGTACAATTACAGTGCTCCACCCACCTCTCCTCCACGTCCTCTGGAACCGCTTCTCCCTTATCCCCTTTACAAACGTCGACCGTTAGTTCGAGTTTGCCTGCGTCAGAAATGTTTTGTATGCGAGCAATAATCCGATGAACGCGTGCAGGAGGGAAAAAGTAATGTCTAGCCACTCGAAAGCAACAAATTACTCACCGGGACTGATGCTAGGATCACCTCCTTCCACAAGGCGCAGCTCGGCTGTAGTATGTTGGTACTTCTGCAGGACACACCCAACTCTTCAAACTCATACGCCAGAAGTCAGTCAGTGCAGTAATACAAACGCATGGTGGCGCATGCTCAGCAGCCACCTCCGTGACGTAAGAAACCTCCGGCGCTGAAGAGCAGACAAAATCGGTGGGTCGTACCTTGCACACATCTACCTCGAAAGTTTGAGAAAATCCAATGCCCATGAGTGAGATATCCTTGAACACCTTGCCCTGTTCATCTGTGCCTTTTGTGATTGTGACAGCGCAGATGTAAAGTAAAAACCGTTTTTTTGGATCTGCGATCGGCAAAATTATCTTCTCTCCAGAAAAAGAACACATGTAATTCTCCCCAACGAGCTGGCCTTTCACGGCTTTCGTTCTATTCCGCTTGTGATTTACAACCTAAACACGCGAAGGCATCAGACAGGAAACAGGGCATTCCCTTCACTCATAACTTCCATATTCATCATTTTCCAACTATGTAGTGCATGTGCACAGAGGGCGAACTCAGCACATGGACGGTCCTTTGCCTCGCAGAGCCACAACTGTAACCTGGCTTTGCAAGCATTGTAAAACAGCCACTAAATACAAGTGTGCTTGTAACATTTGCAGTTTTGTTTGGTATTTGTAGAAAGGGCATAGCTGGAGCTTGTAAAGCCAGGGATGCTACTTACTGCATTCAGGTCGTCGCCTTCGAAGAGACCCACGACGATGAAGTACCTTTCATCATCCTCTTTAATTGCGTCCAGTTTAACCTGCCTGAACAAACGAAAAGCGCAGCCTTCAGAGGACACCAATGCGCACTGCAGTACGCGCCCTGTAAACCGTGTGGAGTACTAGCTCGCGGCTCTCATCATGCACGCAACTATGTACTGAAAGTAACCGCTGATCACAACAAGACCGGCACAAAAGCTAACTGCACAAAATTCTGTTCCCGCGCCGCAGCAAGAAGCTGTATGCACGCTGCTCATGTAACACAACAAGAGGTTCCCGAGATAAGCAAAGCACCTTCTGCTCATTACCTGTGCATGCTCAAATATTTGCCTCACGAACACATGAACGTGCGAATATGTAGAAGGTGCCTGAGTTCCTTTTGCACAATGGACATCCCGTTTACTTACTTCAGCCCGCCCAGAGTCACTATTACTTTGTCACCAGGCTCGGTGTTGCCTCCGTTCGATGCAGGTGATCCTCCCGTTCCAGAAGCACCGCCTGCAGTCTTCCCCGCGACTTTTGATGTGCCGCTGTTTCCGGAAGTCTTCTGTGCTGCGCCTAGTAAATAATTCAGAGAGTGGAGAGACATACAAGGCTCAGGCTGCACTCTTGCGTGTGTGTGGATGCTTCTCCCCCCATGAAGTACATACAACTACACAACTGCATGCCAACTCGCTCTTGAGCAGGTGCACTGATTCAGTGAGATGTGAGCGAAGGCGTGTGCACACTACAGGTACGGCGCAAATGGCTCGGTAAAAGCGTGGACCACTCAGGAAAGCTGGTTTGCTGTACGCTACTCGGCAACGCACAGGAACCGTTTGTGACATTCTGGCCTTCAAATGATATTTGATGAATACAACCTACCACGGAGCCCTTGAAACTGCCCTCCATACGTAGGATTGTACGACATTTTCCAAAGCAGAGGTAGGCAGGAAGCAACGATGACGCTGACTAGGCAATTCAAGCGAACGCAGTAACTGACTGTAGGCAGTTTCCTCTAAAATATGAAAACAAACCCAAAATAAGAGAGAAATGCGTAGGAAATATGATTCTGTTGCCACACAGGACCACGGAAGCCATGACCTGTGGTTGTTGGCAACACAGCGCTCAGCTACATCGACGTGAGTTCAGCAAAACACTGGCTCAAATGGGTTTCCTCGCATTAAGAAGTATTCGGAAATTTTCACAATGAATATGAATAAATAGTATATTGGAAACGCTCTTGGGCCTTAACTACTAATTTTTCACCAGAGTTTGTTTGTGTGTCCGTCAGTACGTGGTAGCGTACGTAATACAAACGCATGTGAATTGCAAATGCGCCTGCAGGCGCTCGCCCAACCATAGTTATAAATTGTAATATAGCCGCTATTTCTTTTGTGGACAATCCTAAGCAACTAGATTTTCCGGCAGAAATGAATGCGGCGGTTCCACCGTGCGCCAAGGGTACCCAGTTGCAGCATTTTCAGGGGAATCGCTAATCGTCTGCCTTATTTTCAGCTCTTGATCTCACCAATACGCTAACAAAGCAATTTTTGACAATGATTGGAGCATTGGAGACCCGTGTGCGGCCCTTGGCCTCCGGTTCATGCGTTCTGCCTGCAAGATCGGCTTATGTTGCGCCAACTGCCGTATTCTTTTGGATGCCCACCCAACTTTGAGAATTGCTTGATCCTGAATATCAGTACAAAAAAGTGTGATGATAGAGCCACCGCCCTCAGGGCGGATCTCCCCCGAAGGCTGGTACGAGAAGCAGCAGGTCTTCCTCAGAACAGGTCGCAGCAGCTCCACACAACAGCAACTGCCTGGATGCGTCGACTCGTAGCAGCTCAGTCGGGGAATGGCAGGAGATGCATCCTTTAAAAGCTAAGAAAATACTCAAAACCTGCTTTGGCTATAGAAGCTTCCCAGCATTCCCCCATAATGGAGAGTGGCGCAGCACGCCCTCAGGCCCAGCTGGCGTTCTGAAGGCGGAGGCTAGAAGTGCGCCTAGAAACAGAAACTTTTGTAACCCATCTTGAAATCGTCTAGCATGTAATAGTATGGCTAGTAAAGCCTTAGAAGGGTGTCTAAATCCATGAGGGGCTGCGGCCCCATTGACCGCCCCGCACTTCACACGCAGCATGGGACAAGATCCAGCGGTGCACCATTGAAACCCCCACTGCATGGCGCAAAATAAGTTTGTTCCATACCCCAGTCACAGCTTGAGAACGTTTAGAGAAGCTGGAAGCAGAAAAAAACCTAAGGCATGGTCGCGACCGCTGTGGCGGCCCCTCTGCCGGTCGGTTTCATTGCAAATTGCGCCAAAAACTGCACTTCACCGGTGCAGACAGCGTTTTATGGACTATATTCCGCGGAGAGTGATGAAAAGGGAACGGCGGAGCCTAGTGGTTGACTGCGTGGCACTGCATCGCGTAGGCCGACACCCACCCTGCTCCTGTCCTGTAACAACCACTCGAGCACCGTGGCACTGCATCGCGTAGGCCGACACCCACCCTGCTCCTGTCCTGTAACAACCACTCGAGCTGCGAGACCTCATGGTGCAGGCTTGGGTGCAAGGCACACAATCCCCTGAAGGATTATTCATAAAGCCAAATTTAGTCTAGAGCTTTTATCTTCTAGATGATTATAATCATGTGTGTGTGTCTGTGGCAGATGCAATGCGCAAATCCATACGAGCCCTTACTCAAAATGCCATTTCTCTGAGCAGCAGGACCCATGCTCAGTGCACTCTCCAAAGACAAACTAATAATTGAGCGAAATACCGATTATGCTTTGAATTTGCAATGAAATGTAGAAATTTGGTGGCAAACTCGACTGCCTTCCGAGAGACCAATGCGCAGCAAGACTGCAACTCCGGCGTGCTCGCGAATCATTCAGTACATAACAGCAGGAAGAAACATACCGTGAGAAAACTTTAAACCCAGCTATGGAGCCGTCATATTAACTGTATGGTCTAATCAAATCAGAAAATGCCCAAGCGATTTGCAGCCCGCTGTGCTTTGCAGACCCGAAATCTAAAGACGCCTGAGAACAGCATCACATCAGTCGTGAGTTGCTACGCTGGCCAGTGCATGTGTCCTCTTCCTTCTGCAACAAAATGCCCTTCGACGTTAACAAAGCAAGAACATTCTATAAAATTTGTACCCTTGACACGCTTCTAGGACTACTTTCTGGTTCTCGGCACTGATCTTCCGCCGAAAGCCCAACCTGGCAAATCAGTCGAAAGGCAGGGTAGGCGCACGTGCATTCTAATTTGGCGACTAGGAACTGGCTCATCCACAAGGCATCTATTTTTTAACAATTTTTCTTCGAGGGGGAAGCCGTTGCTGGTCACCCCACTCAGGTGAGCGCTTGATTTCCTCCGAAAATCCTTAGGGACTCCTAGACCTCTTATGGTAAAAAGTGCCACGTGCTTCTGCAAGAGTTTTCGCCTTTTCAGTTGAGGGACCTCTAGGGCCTCAATATCATGCTAAAATCCTGGCAGACTGCGCGTATGATTCTCTCGTGATGTGCTTGCCTTCTTCCCCACTTGTGCCCCAGGTGAGCCGATGGCGAGGCCGCAGTAGACACAATGTCAAGGACTTATTATGCACTGCACCTTAGGTCAAATTTTGTCACCTTGCTTCCCTCCAGGTAAAAGCCACGCAGTTTGGGACACTTCTGCGGCGGCACTGCAAGGTATACCAACTCTACATATCGGGAGAGTCACGGGCGGCCAGTGTGTCCGAGCCAAGCCGAAGAAAGCTCGACAATAACCAGCGATAGTACTATTCAGAAGCAAGCCCACGGCCTATCAACAGTAATCAAGCTGGACTTGACGTCAGTGAATCTTCTGACCCCATTGGAGCAAAGACCATCCGCAGGTCCAATGGACCACCTTAGTGATGGCCTGCCCTTTGCCGGTAAAGTTGACCAAGGGGCCCCATCAGTGTCACAGCAGGATGTGGACAAAAGTTATGCTGGCCACGCTGTGCTCGCCCAGCGCGTTTCGAGCAGAAAACTGTTGTTTTCTTCGGCTCGACTTCTAGGCGTGACCTTTGCCTCTTTGGCAGTGGCTCACCTCATTTTGCACTGCTTTCACCTGAGAAACTCTACACCAGCTGTTGTCCCACAGGGTAGAGCGCTAGCAGCTGGCAGCCGCAATCCCTGTGCTTCGGGGTATGTTCCTGACGATGAAGCTGAAGACGACTCACGCGCTGACGAGGCCAGAGGTCAGCAGCCACTCATACAACAAGAGGACACCCCAGAGATCTACATCCGTATAGTAGGCGATGCTCAACCGCAACCGGAAAAAAACCCGGCCGTAGAGGTTGCAGTTGGAGAAGACGATCCTGGAGAAGGGACCAGTTCGCAGTGTTCGTCACAGGGAACCCAGGCAACAGACAACAGATCATGGGAAGAGGACGGTTTGCCCGAAGATATTAAGGAAAAGGTGTTGGATCTTTTTCAGCGGATGATAGAAGTTTCATTGTTGTGCAAAAACCTATTGCCGATGTTAGCTAATGGCCAGCGCTTGCGAATCACATACAATTTGGTGAGGCTGTTCTCATTGGACGTGGGCGCAATCTATTGGGTCGGCAGGGAATTAGAGCCTGTAAGAGCCAGCGTGGGTCACTCGCTCAATCACCTGATTTATTTTGCTCTTCAGCGTAGCGGCAAGGACCACAAGCAGGAAGATCGTCGCGTGGCACTTCGCCGCATGATGGAATTGATTACTGAACTTAAACAGCCCCATTATCTCAATGACGGGAATGAGCTTCCTTTGTACTTGAAAAAGCTGAATGAAGTCCTGCAAACCGCCGCCCTTACAACTAAACTTTGTTTCGGCGTTCTGAACGGGCTGCTACAGATGAAGCGAGAGTCTTACTCGAAACTGCCAGACCGAGTGGTAGACCAGCAAGCAACTGTCCTACAGGCAATGTACCATTCTCATTCTGAGCAAATCTCCAGAGACTTCATGCTTAGACGGTTTATCTTAATCTGCCAGAAGCGCAAGTCAGTGACTTTCCTCCTTACGCGTCACCACTACCAGACATACAAGGGTGTGGTTTCTGAGGTAACAGTATTGCTTCAACAAATTATCGATGCTGTCAGAAATGCTGGCGGTCTCCTGCAGCAGCAGTATAGTCTGGCCGCACCCGATCGCGTTGACGATGCTTCCATAATATACCAGATGCAGGTGGAACTACAGCGAGAGTTATTGCGCGCCAATGCTTTCGGATCGCGGAACCAGCCTGAATCTACAGTGCAGGCCGGAGCTGACTTCGCCGGCTGTGAAGCCCCGCCAGCAGTGGCATGCCCACCGTGGGAAACTGTCCAAATGCACCCGAGTGATCCTCAACTCGGCTTGCTGGAGCCAGCGACAGTCGCCAGCAGCTTTGGGAGTCAGCTTCCACAAATAAGTCAGCCGCCTCAATTTGAACGCACGGTTGGCTTTTCGGGGTTCCCCCGGAAACACCCACTAGAAGACACTATTGAAGCCATCAGCGCAAAGCGTGCGTCGCCAACTTTTCCCCAAGCAGCTTTTCTGGGTACGCCATATCTTCAACCTAGTCAAGGTCGAACTTCTGCCACGGCGCCAAAAAGCAGTACATCCTCGGGCCACAGAGCTCGACTTCGCGCAAGGTCCTTTGCTCAACAGTATCGGAGTGATTTAGTTGCCACACCTACGCATCCAGGTCTAGTTCCACCTGTACCTCAGCCCTATCCCACCTACAGCCTTTTCGGAAGCGGTGGCGTCCCGTCCTGGTTACCCTCTTCACTATTATCAAGCGTTAAGGCTCGCGTCCCTCCGCCTCTAACCCTTGATTACACATTCTGCCAACGCGTCGGTTACCCTAGCAACTACGTGATGGGTGCTCCTGGTGACACAGAAAGCAATTACCAGGAAACTGATGAAGATCAAGATCAAGAATAGTAAGGTTCACTTTTCCGTTCAAAAATGGGGGTTCCGAAACTGAGGATCCAGCGGTCGGTGGCTATTTCATGCTCTGCCAACAGGGCATTCGGCGTTCCGCTGCAAACTGGACGAAAAGGGCATGTATTGGCTATCATTCGAGTTTTGGGGAGGGCTTGTGCGGCCTTTGCTTCTTGGTGCTTTGCGCGAGGCGAGCATTACCTACTTTGCGGCTCCGTTTCTCCGTCGGTGCGCTTAGCTCCCCTCTGCTGTCCTTGCACGGGGCGTTTTCTTCCAGAAACAGGGCTTTGGAGATGGTGAGACAAGCTCCCCAATTTTTTGTTCGCGGACAGTCGCTTTTTTTTGGAGCCAGGCTATCCTCGAGTACGCGATTACATAGCCTGATGCATGATCACTGTCTTTTTGTCAACGTTGAAGCTGAAGCCGCGCGCCAACAAGGCGAAGTAACGAGTTGAATCGAAGCTTTCGTTCACCGCGGGGACGATTCAACGGAACCGGAACAATGCATTGATGGAAGATAGAGAGAAATGCCGGCATTCTGAGACTCGAATTCAAGCGAGTCGCTACAGCATCGCCTCAAGGTGAAGCGACTGCAAGAACTCGGGCAGCCTGCTGCTCTCCTTGAACAGGCGATCTTCTGCTCACCATGTAAAACGACCCGCTGCCTACTACGCACATGCGCTACATATGCAAAGAAAATGCTGTACTTCTTGGCGCAAGTTGGTGCAACGCGATGGCCGCGGGAGAAAATGCCGCCTTCACTTCTAGTTGGTAAGCTTTCCCTGGCGCTGCAGTCAGGAGCTGCTCTCAGCTTTGGCTCTTATACATTTAGAGCTTGCAGTTAGTTTTAAGGAGTTGCGGAGGGCTAGCTGAGCAGACCCAACGCCTCCAAATATGTAGACCGAAGGAACAACGAAGATCAGGAGAGTCTACACAAGCAGCTCATGCTAAATTTGTAGCTACGAGACTTATTCTTTTTAGACAGAAAGGCTAAGCAAGAGACGAAGGCCTTACGTTTTTGTGCAAATTTCTTCTTACCAGCATTGTCCATAGCTTTCCATCATGGTGAGCACTTTCTGGACTAGCAAGTGCCAGCCCTTGCTTGCGTGAACACCGTACCTTTATTGTCAGGTCGCAAGCGCCTACATTTTTTTATACCCATCGCCTTGCTAGCAAGGACTTAGGCTGGTCATTCTGTCTTAATGCCGCCTGCTCCACAGATTGAAGCCTTTTTCCATCTCTCTCGCTTGGTTAGGCAAGACTTCGTTGGATATCTGTGCATCTCTGAAGGAACCTTAGCAGTTTAGTGTCTGTTGAATGGATCTGCATTTCAGCACTACTCAAATACGAGGAAACGTTGCCGAAGTGATTCAAAACCTCAACAGGCTATGTCATATTTAAAGAGGAGCGGCTCGCTCTTAACAGTCTTTGGCTGTAAAGTTCTCACACTCCCTCTGCTTAGTGGATTTGCCCTGAACAAAGATGAGGAAATGGGGAAACGTAGGGAAATGGACCACATCAGACTACATTGTGCTGGCAGTCGGTATTACATGTAGAAGGTGGCTAGTCCACTTTCCTTTATTTTCTCTGGAATTGCTTTCTGCCCAGTGTGCTTTCTGCGGAAATCTAACAGCAGTGGAAACTGGTATATCCCACCACGCTGTCAGTGAGGCTTCTGTTCCCGAATACTTTTTTCGGAATTGAAGGCACTATCGACCTTTTTTCTCCAGAGTGGACTCTTGCACGTGAAAGCAGCTTAGCATGTCTATCCCATTGCCCCCTCAGACAATCAAAGCTAAGAGTTGCTTGGTGGGGTTAGCAATATACCACAAGGGGATCTATTCAATCTGTACTTAATCACGTGCGAGAGCACTGAACACCCTTACCTTGTTTGCGCGGCTGTCCTTTGTCATAAAAGAAGTATGTGGATCAAAAAACTTGGCTAGCCGCTCCAACTTGCTGAGAGAAACCCTGAGTGCAAATCGGGGTTTACTTCAACTCTTGCTTTGTAACTATCCGAGTCCCGTGCGCCTTTACCCCTCAACGCTGCTGTTGTAAGCAGTTTTCTGGCAGCTGCAGGAGCCGGCGCCGTGGCCGCAGCGCGATCGCCACCGCTCATTTACGAGGGAAGCTGCACAGCTCTTCGGTGCAGGAGCTTGTGCTCTTTGGAACCCTCCAAGATCTCTCCTTGAGAAGCTTTACGGCAATTTCTGGTGGCCTGGGACTCCAGCATCTGCGGCCCGCAAGCACGGCCCAGCTGTGGAAAGCAACAAAAAAAGAAAAGAGCCGTTTTCCGGCCTTTTCCTTTGTTTGCTTTCTCGGCGGCCTCGGCTCTCCCCTTTTTGCAACGGCCGGTGAGGGCTTTCGGGCAAATCTCATGTATTCTATGGTTTTAGCTCCAGCCTTGCGCCATTTCGGGCCGATGGGTTTCAGTTTCCAAAGGGATCTGCACACTAGAGGCTTTCAACTTAGCCCTGTGGCTCTTTTCGTTCCTTCCCTTTACTCGGTTCTAGTCCGTTCTTGCAATTCCCACTTTACCTTTTTGCAGGGTGCAGGACCTCCTGTGAGAACGCCGCATAAAAGCGTGCCTATGGCGCTCCCGAGAGATGCCCAGTGCGGCAGAACTGCATCAAGGCAGCTGCAGAGCTGTAGCAGAAATGCAGCAGCGCTGCCGCAAGGCTGCAGCGGGGCTGCAGCAGTCATGTAGCAAGGCTGCAGCAGGGCTGCAGCTGATGCTTCTCAAGGGCACCATAAACAGGCCCCAGCAGCCCCCTTTCTGATAATCATTGCTCCTTTTCATGAGGCATGATTCGGCCTTTGAAGATGTTTGGAGAATCTCAAAGTGTTTCCAACCTTTTGCTTCTTGTTACCCCCCGAAACGCTGTCTCGAAAGCCCCGAGACTTTTCGCAGCAGTCCCACTTACACTTGTTCAGCAGCTTGGAGGTGGCTGCAGCAATGCTGCTGCTTCCAGAGGCTTGGGCTGAAGCTCTAGGGCCCCTCTTTGCATGAAGTCTTGGCAGCTCCTACACAGCATTTCGGGTTGCTCTTTGGCGATTTTCGGACATTTTCTGTCATTTCTGGCGCCTTTTGTATAGATACTTTTGCTGGGGGCCAGTGCTTTGCTAGGAGCTTCTGAAATCCATTTGCTAAGGAGGCAAATAAGCCATTGCTTCCGAAATCCCAGGGCTGCTAACTACAACACGCTGGCCGCAAGGCAAAGCGTGGGGCAGTCAAAACACTCCAGTGCAGCTTTTCCTTGGGACGCAGCAGGGCAGTGTGGCTGCTGCGCAGGTGTTTAATTGTTCTTTCTTCTTTTGCCAAAAGTAATGCATAACTTGATGGGGCAGACTTTTCCAGGAAATCTTCGGATTAGTAAAAACGAAGAAGACGGGACTGCGGCTCTGCGCAGTGGCTGAGAGAGTTCAGGAAATGCGAAATGCAAATGGTTCCCAGAGCTGCTGCAGCCGTTCAGGAAATGCGAAATGCAAATGGTTCCCAGAGCTGCTGCAGCCGCCAAGGAGCACATAACAAGCAGCAAGGTGGCCACTCTGTGGCTAACTTGCACTTTAAATGTGTCAAGAACGTTTAGTAAGTTTCATAAGCTCTCGAGCACGCAAGCTCCGCAGCGCTGCAGCAGCACTACAGAAGCTGCAGCAAACGCTGCAGATGCTGCGCTGCCGTCCATGATCTGAAGTCTTTTTGCTAGTTCTTGTTCCTCTCCACCTCATTTTCATTCCATTTCCACTTGATTGTCAATCAACAGAGGCATGCCAGAGACAGAAAAATAGAATTGGCGCGAATCCCAAACAGCAAATCTCCGGGCGCTGCGCTTGCCGGCACAGACCAGCAGCATTGCAGCTGCTGCTGCTGCAGCCGAGAGGCCTCCATAAGGCCTAGCTGGATTCCCCCGCGCCGCTAGCTGAAACTGCAGCAGCGCTAGCTGCAGCTGCAGCAGCGCTAGCTGCAGCTGCAGCAGCGCTGGCGCAGCTGCAGCGGAGCTAGCTGCAGCTGCAGCAGCTCTGGCGCAGCTGCAACAGCGCTTGCTGCAACTGCAACAACGCTAGCTGCAGCTGCAGCAGCGGCTAGTGCAGGGTAACAGATAGATACAAATAGTCATGAATGTGGGGAGTAATATGCTGCAACAGAAGGCAACTTCGGCAGCAAAGTCTCAAGTTGCGCTAAACCCTAAAAGGGAGGTAATAGTCCCTAAAATTCTCAGCAGTTGCTGGCGCTGCGCCCCGCAACAAACCCTAAACTCGCGAGCAAACAAAGAAAAAGAAGACCAAATAAACAACGAAAAGTTGAAAAAAAAACTTAATTGTTTGCCTGTGACCGAAGACCTCAAGGCAGTAAACAAGGCCATTGGCTGCAAGTGCCCCCGGCGAGTCCCGCGGACGCTCTTTCGGTTCCCAGGGCTTACCGTAAACCCTAAACCCTAAACCCTAAACCCTTAGGCGCTGCCCTGCAGTTGGGGCTGCAAGAGTTCGCATGCATCATCTAGCTGCACAAATATGTCTCTTGATATTGCGTCACTTAGAAGAAGACCATCGGGAGCCAGCAACGCCAAGCGACAGCCCAGCTGCGCTCCCCCTTTGCTGCTGCTGCTGCTGCTGCTGCTGCTGCTGCTGCTGCTGCTGCTGCTGCTGACTGGGGTGCTGCGACTCTTTAAGAATCTGAGCAGCCGCGTTGTCTTTGAAAGTATTCTTGCGTCTGAGTCGTCGGGGTGTATCCGCAGCTGCCACCTTCCCTGTACACCCGAGCCCAGCGGCTCAAGGCCCTCTGCTGCCAGCTCATTTTGAAAAGAAATGCATGCATCATGGAAGCTGCAGCAGGAATCAGTTGTGGGGCTGCTGCTGCTGCTGTGAAGGTCAGCTTCGCTGCCTGGGTGTACGTACACTTGAATGTCGGCTACTCCCGGACGCCGTAGGAACGCAGCAGCACCAAGCAGCACTGACGGCAGCAGCTGCTGCAGCAGCAGCAGCACCCCGCTTCCATCTCCTGTGGCTGCTGTGGCATTCGCTGCATTTCGCGCTGCTGCAGCAGCTGGTAGCTGCTGCCCCTCGCTGTCAGCAAAAACTGTTATGCAGCGCAGCAGCTGGTCAAGTGGAGCTTTTCTTCGCGCCAACAGCAGCAGCAGGCCCTGAACGGCGTTTTCACAAAACAGCTGGTCCTTTTTTGCTGCTGCTGCTGCTGCTGCTGCTGCATCTGAGAGTTCCAGGAGATGCAGCAAATCAATCCCATTTGAAGTTCGCAGGCCCAGCATTACCAGTTCCTGTATTCGGGTGTATGCCCACTGCGTGAGACTTGCTGCGCCTTCTTCTTCTCCAGAGTGCCTTGAGGGGGCCCCCGCTTTTGACCCTTTCTGGGGGGCCCCTGAGCCTTCTTGGGGGCCCCCCACCTCTAGCACCTTTGGGGGGCCCCCTGAGCCTTCTTGGGGGGCCCCCTGCACGAATGCTTTGTAAGCAGCGAGACTGAAAGTTAGCAAAGTAGCATGCAGCTGGGGCCCACGGCAATAAGGGTGGAACATTACAAAATGAAGAATTAAAAACAATTAAATAAATTAAAATGTTTAACATTTACTTGTTTTTCAAATCAAATGTACCTTTTGGGGTTGGTTCGCCTGCTGCCTCGGACGAAAGAAGAAGCACCAAGACCAAAAGCAAAGACAGTCCCGCCTCCCCAGTAGAGCTGCGAGTGCACGCAGCGGGAGCAGCAGCTGCAGCTGCTGCTGCTGCTGCTGCTGCTGCTGTCGCTGCTGTTGCTGCTGTTGCTGCCGTTGGCGCTGCTGCTAAGCTCCTGCTGCTGCCCCCAGGCAGCTGCACCTCCGCCTGAAGGCACTCACAAAGCTAATGCCGTGCAGGTAAGCAGATAAAGCTCTTCAGAACCTGCTGCTGCTGCAGCTTCCGCTGCTGCAGTTGGTGCTGCTGCTGCTACATTTGCTGCTGCTGCCGCTGCAGGTAGAAACTGCACTGGACCAGCTGCAGCGCTGCACTGCAGCTGCTGCTGCCTGCGAAGCGCAGCAGCCACCAGCAGCTGCAGCACCGCCATCGGCAGCAAACGCAGCAGCATCCGCAGCAGACGGAATCAGAGTGCTGCTTCTGCTGCTGCTGCTGCAGCACCCCAAGCCCTTGGGCTTGAGGCACATGCGCAGCAAAGATAAATAAAAGAAAAACAAAGTTGTTTCTTGATTTGAAACTGCTGCATCAGAGACCCACCAGCAGCAGTTTTGGCCCCTGGGGTGTACAGACACCTCCGGGCAAAAGAGGAAACCTCGTAATGTTCATAACCCAACTTCTCCAGAAGTCTGCACACATGGAGACTCTAAACCCTAAACCTCAAACCCTAATTTGTAAACCCTAAACCCTAGAACATCTCTTTGAAAGGGAGAGAGACTCACTTAGAGGCTGCTGCAAGAGCAGCAGCAGCAGAATCCGCATCGGGAAGGCCTTTGGGCGGGCGCTGGTGGAAGCGAGAGCCTTCCTCTAGCTGAAGACAGAAACATGGACGCGCTGCTGCTGCTGTTGCTGCTGCTGCTGTTGCTGCTGCTGCTGTTGCTGCTGCTGCTGCTGGTCGTGCTACAGCGGCTGCTCTTCCTAACAGTGCTGCTGCGGCTGTGGCTGCCACTGCTTTCTCTGTCTTGCTGCAGCCAGTGCTGCCATTGCTGCTGTTCATTACTGCTTCGCTGCTTCAGCGGCTGCTGCAGCAGCAGCAGCAGCTGCTGCTGCTGCAGGAACTGCACCTCACTTGGAGCTCATAAAGGGAAATGTGACCAACAGGAAGACTAGCGAGGATCTGCAAGTCCCTGAGCAGCTGCTGAGGTGTCTGTACACTGAAAATCAGATCCACAGAGGTCCGGGGCAGCAGCTTGAAGGCGCGCAGCAGCCGCAGCGCATGCAGGCTGTCACGGACGTGGCTAGGCGCTCGTTTGCTGCTGCTGCTGCCGCTGCTGCTGCTGCTGCTGCTGCTGCTGCTGCTGCTGGGGCTCGCGATGCTGGCGGGAAGCCTGCCTAGCACCTTCAGAGTTGGTTCGTGGAGTGTCTGTACACCCAAAGAGAAGCGATTCACCCCCACCGACAGGTACGCCTGTAGCCGCTCTGCGTCTAGTGTACCTGCAGCAGCAGCAGCAGCAGCAGCAGCAGCAGCAGCAGCAAATAGCAACAGTTGCAAGGCAGCAATTTTTGGCTGTCCCTGCATCAATACCGGGCACCTAGCAGCGTCGTGCTGCAGCACAGCAGCGCCAGCCCCGTGTTGACTTTGTCAGCAGCAGCAGCAGCAGCAGCAGCAAATGCTGGAAAGAATATATTCACTAGACGCAAGCTGCAGGAGAAGCATTTGCATTTGAGTCACCTGGGTATATCTCAATAGACACCTCTGGCTCCTGCGCGCACCTTATCTGCGGCTGCTGCTGCTGCTGCTGCTGCTGCTGCTGCTGCTGCTGCTGCTGCTGTGGATGCCGTAAGTGCCTCGCTTCACCCTGAACAGGCTGCTGCAGCTGCTGCAGGGCGTCCCGTAGATGCTGCTGCTGCTGCAGCAGCCGCTGCAGCTCTGCCTCAAAGGCCTTAATCTGCTGCAGCAGCTGCTGCAGCATTTCCGGAGGCATCAGCGACGGCGTCCCCCCTCCAAAGTAAACACTGCGCAGCAACCGCTTGCCAGGTGCTGCTGCTGCTGCTGCTGCAGAAGCACCAGCAACAGCTTCTGCGTCTGCTGCTGGAGCAGCAGCAACAGCAGCTGCTGCACCTGCTGCTGCAGCTGCTGCGGAGCTCGCTACACTGCAGCTAGCTGCGCCGTTGAGGGCTGCCGTTGGAAGCAACGCCTGCAGCAGCAGCTCCTTCGCATCGGCGAGCAGCAGGTTTCCTTGCTGCTGCTGTTCCTGCTGCTGCTTTCCCCATTGCTCTGGGTCCTGCTGCTGCTGACCTTGCTGCTGCTCCTGCTGCTGCTGCTGCAGCTGCTGCAGCAGCTGCTGCAGCTGCTGCACGCGGCGTTTATGCACCTGTAGAAAAGCTCCGAACTCGGCTGCCATCTCCTGCTGCAGCAACGGGAGGTACTGTGCTGCTGCTGCTGCTGCTGCTGCTTTGCTGCTGCTCGGCAGCAGCGCGATCGGGAAGGCACAAAAATGACACCGGCGCAAACAGAACGGCAGGTGTATGTACACCCCGAAGGTATTTTTATCGGCGAGCTCTACGCTCTTGCTGCTGCTGCTGCTGCTGCTGCTGCTGCTGCTGCTGCTGTCGTAGATGTGGCTGCGGCTGGTTGGTTCGTAGCTCCTGTTGCTGTTACTGGCCTGAGTGTTAGCAGCGCTCGTTTCACACTCACTTTTTGCCGCTACGTGCAGCTTTCGCAGCTTTTGCTGCTGCTGCTGCTGCTGCTGTTGCTGCTGTCGCTGCTGCTGCTGCAGCCCCCGACATACTCCGATAGGTGACGGGAGAGCAGCGGAGACCTGCTGGCCGTTGGGGCAAGCTTGAGCCAATGCTGCTGCTGCAGTTGCTGCTGCAGCAAGCCTCCCACAGCGCCGCTGCTGCTTGTGCAGCAGCAGGTGATGCAGCCTCTGGGCGCCGCAGCAATACGCCATGGGGGGCCCCCTGGGGCCCCCTCCCCTTTTGTAAACTGCAGCAAGCATTGAGGGCTCTTTGGGGGGCCCCCCTGCAGCTCTAGGCAGCAGCACAGATACGGAGAGTGGCAGCAAAGACAAACACGCAAACCCCAAAACCCAAAAGGACAGGGGCCCCCCAACAGAGGGCCCCCCTTTCCAGGGGGCCCCCAAGGGCCCCTCTCCCTTCCAAGGGGCCCCCAGGGGGGCCCTCGACTTCAAAGGGGCCCCCAAGGGGCCAGAACCCTTCCAGGGGGCCCCCAAGGGGGGCCCCCCGGGCACTGGTGGGTAGCGCGGGGGCCCCTGGGGGGGAAAGTGTCTCATTTGGCAGCCCTGAGGCTCCCGAAACTTGAAAATTTGGAAGTATATTTGTCATTAAATGTCAAAAAATGCATTTGGATTAATTAATTTCATTAAAAAGTGTTCAAATGACCCAACAAGGCCCTCCGAGCTGGCAGATCTGACCTGGGTGACCTCCCCCCCTCCCAAGGTCACCTCTTCGTTGTTAACAATTTAATTCAATTATTTTAATTTATGAATTAAATCTTATGCTGCAAAACTCCCGCATTTAAAAAGTACTTCCCTAAACAAATCCTTTTATGCTTATGTTCATTTTAGCCCGCGACGCCGGGGGCCCCCCACGCTGCCACAACCTTGGGGGCCCCCCGGGGCCCCCGGGGCCCCCGGGGCCCCTGGAAGCTTTGGAGGCGATGGGGGCCCTGGGGGCCCCCCTGGGGCCCCTGAGGGTCCTGGGAGGTCCCTGGGGGACCTGTGGGGCCCCCTGTGGGGCCCTGTGGGGCCCTGTGGAGCAATGGGGACCCTGGGGGCCCTGGGGATCTTGGGGGGCCCCCCAGGTCCCGACAGCTGTAGACTCTAGCAGCGGTAGGGGCTTGAGGGCTGCAGCCCGTGACGCAGCAGCAAGGGTTTAGGGTTTAGGGTTTAGGGTTTAGGGCTTATCCCCACGAACGTAACTGCAGCGCTTCAGACGCTGTAAAAACACATGGAAAGTGCTGAGGGTTAAGTGTTTAGGGTTTAGGGTTTGACAATGACTACTCCCAGGCTGGGGGCCCCAGGGCCTCTTGCTCCCTCTGGGGGCCCCTCTGGGGGCCCCCTGAGTCCCCAGTGGGCCTCAGGGGGCCCCCCGAGGGAGCTGGAGGCCCTCGGGATGTACAATTTGGATTAAAGTTTTGGCATTTTGAATCAAATGCATTATTTTGTTTGTTTGTAGAATGAAATTGAGCCTGTCGGGGCTCAAAAGGGAGAAAACAGGAAAAGAAATGAAAGTGCTGCTGCTTTTCCTTGTGGGGCTGCAGCAGAAAGTGCGGGCGCTGGGGTGTACAGACAGCTCTGCTGCAGCAGACCAGCCAGTGGTCCACTGGTCCACTGCCACGGCATTTCATTTAAAGATGAAGTTGAACTTATTTATATGTTATTTTGGGGAATTTGAAGTGGAGAAAACAAATCCCAAAGCTGCTGCTTCAATTAAATCTTTTTAAATTTAAAAAAGCAAAAAAAGGCATTTTAAATTAAACAAATTTTAACAAAAATGGTTTTTTTTCGGCCCTCTCTGCAGCTCGTTGTGCTGCTACCATTTGCTTCTTCTTTTTCTGTCTTTTGGCTTTTGTTTTGTTTCTTATTTTTCTTTTTATTTCCTTTTCTCTTTTTGTTTTGTCTTTTATTTTATTTCTTCTTTTTCTTATTTTTATTTCTTTTCCTCTTATTTTCTTTTTCTCTTAATTACCTTTCTTTTTTTATTTCCTTTCCTATTCTCTCTCCCTGGCTTTTTGTTTCTTATCTCTCTTTATTTATTTCTTTTTAACTTCAACTTTTTTCTTTCTTTCTTTTTTCTCTTTCGTTTATTTGCTCCTTTTCCACCTCAAGTGCCAATTGTTCAAAAGATTTAAAAACACTTTTAAATATTTTTTTTTCAAAAAAAAGAAAGTGCGAAATTATATATATATATATATAATATAAAGTTTGCTGCAGCTGCTGCCTCACCCCAAGGGAGATGACGCAGCAGCAGCAGCGCTGCAGCAGCAGCGCTGCAGCAGGAGTGCTGCAGCAGCAGCTGCAGCAACACCGGCCTCTGGGGAGGGTTGGAGTTGCTCTGGGCTGCTGCTGCAGCAGCAGCAGCAGACATGGCAGCATCAGCAAAAGGTATGGCAGCAGCAGCAGCAAAGGGCAGGGCAGCAGCAGCAGCAGTGGCAGAAGATAGGGCAGAAACAGGAGCAGCAGAAGGCACGGAAGCAGCAGCAGCAGCAGCAGCAGCAGCAGCAAAATCAGAGACCCTCTGCGTGGCTTTAAGCAGCCGAGGGGTGGGCCACCGCGCTGCTGCTGCTGGCGCAGTTTGGCTGCAAGTCTTTGCTGCTTCGCACTGCAGCAACAGCAGCAAACTTGCAGATGCTTCGCACTGCAGCAACAGCAGCAAACTTGCAGATGCTTTGCACTGCAGCAACAGCAGCAAACTTGCAGATGCTTCGCACTGCAGCAACAGCAGCAAACTTGCAGAAAGGACCAGACCAGTGGTCACCCTGCAGCCTGAGAGCTGCTGCCTTGTTTGCAGCAGGGAGCTGTCGGCTTCGAACGGAATTTGCACATTTCAAACTTGAACTGGGCAGCTCAGCGAGAGTTAGGGAGAGCCTGGTGGCTCATTATAGTCTAATTTAAAGAAATAAAGATAATTAAAAGTTGAAAAAAGAAAAAAAATTGCAATTTTCAACTCCATTTCGTCGGTGGACTCAAAGGTGAGCGGTGACGCACAGCCCGGCGCAGCGAGAGGCGCTGCGCGCTGAGACATGGCTTTGAATGCCAAATTCGTCGAGAAAAATAAAACAAAAAGAGAAATTCAATTTTTAAATTATTATTTAAGTGGCGCTGCGTCTTCTGTCGGCTGGCTCGAGGCGGGCGTTGAGCGGGCTGGGGTGTACAGACACCTGCGGCTTCTCAGCCGCCGCCGCCGGCTCGCCTCGAAGCCGCTTCGTCTCACTTTTGTCATTTTTGAAATTAAAATCACTTTAATATTTAACTGAACTGCTGCAGCCGACAAACTTGCTGCTGCATGCACAGAAGCCAGCGCGAATAGGGCTGAGCGGGGGCCCCCAGCCGACACCAGCGCCAGCACAACTCATTTAGGGGGCCCCCGAGATCTGTGCTCTCGGCTGCAGCTTTTAATTCATGTTGTTTGTGTCTGTGTCCCTTTTTAATGGCCCCAACATCCGCTGCAGCAGCAGCAGCAGCAGCAGCAGCAGCAAGACCATCCCGCCGCCAACCCTTTTGCCAGCTGCAGCAGCAGCAGCGCACCCTCAAAACAGCTGCCTCTCAGCAGCACCTGCACCTCAGTGACTTTTGAGGAGGGCGTGTTGGCCCAAGACGCCGCCGTGCCCAGCAGCAGCAGCAGCAGCAGCAGCAGCAGCAGCAGCAGCAGCGGGACTCACCGCAACAAGAGCAGCAGCAGCGGGAAGAGCAGCAGCAGCAGGACTCGCGACAGCAACAGCAGTAGAAGCAGCAGCAGCACCGGATCTCGCAGCAGCAGCAGCACCACGATCCGCAGGCGCAACTGCAGGACGACCAGCAGCAGCAGCAGCAGCAGCAGCAGCAGAACTGGCAGCAGCAGCAGCAGCAGCAGCAGCAGTTTCCTTGTTTGGGATGGCGCACCGCCGCGGGCTGCGCCCAGTTGCACGCAGCAGGTTCTCGGGGGCCCCTGGGGGCCCCGGGGGCCCCCGAAACTGTCTGAGCTTTTGAACTGAAGCTCTCCAATCTGCTGCTGCTGCTGCTGCTGCTGCTGCTGCTGCTGCTGCTGCTGCTGCAGTTTAGAAGATGGTTGGCTCCTCAGGGGCCCACGGCAAAAGCATTGTTTGCTGCTGGGGGGCTTTATTAATAGGGTGGGAAATAAACTTTGAAAAATAAATTAAATAAATTTGAATTTAAAAGAATTAAATTAAAATAAAATGAAAAAAGTAAATTTAAATTCAAAATTCGCATTTAATTCACCAAATTGTTTTCTTTTTTTTTCTTTTTTTTCAATTTTGGATCTTTTTTTGTCGTTTTTTCTCCTCTTTGCATCAATTACAACGAACTTTAATTAAATCTTTTCAGTTTTCCATTAATTGCATTTTATTTCTTTTTTATTTCTTTTTTATTTCTTTTTTATTTCTTTTTTATTTCTTTTTTTTTCTTTTTTTATTTTTTCTTCAGGCCCGACTACCGCATGGCTGCTGTCACTCTTTTTCTCATAATTGTTCCTTCCGCTTTCTACCAGGCCTTCACTGCGCCCGTCAGTCAAAATTTTTAAATCTTTTTTTCTTTTTTTCTTTTTTTCTTTTTGGAATCTTTTTGATCTTTTTGGATCTTTTTGAAGCTTTTGAATCTTTTTGAATTCTTTTTGTCCTTTTTGTCTTTTTATTCGGCTTTATTTGGCTTTATTTGGCTTTATTTGGCTTTATTTGGATTTATTTTTGTTTTTTTTGTTTTTTTTGTTTTTTCGTATTTTCTGTTTGTTTATTTGCCTCTTTTGTTCCTTTTTGTTTCTTTTTATTTCCTTTTAGTTCTTTTTAATTCTTTTTAGTTCCTTTTGGTTCTTTTTGTTTTGTTTTATTTCTTTTTAATTCTTTTTATTTCGTTTATTTCTTTTTATCTTCTTTAATTTCCTTTTCTTTTCTGTCTCCTTCAGTCTTCTAGTTCTGACTGCCTATGTGCTTTTTGTTGTTCTCTGCGCACCACGGCGTGTAGGGTTTAGGGTTTAGGGTTTAGGGTTTAGGGTTTAGGGTTTAGAGTTTAGTGTTCAGAGGGTTTCAGATTCCGACTTTACGGTTCAGGGGTCAGCAGTTCGAATTTAGGGTCTAGGGTTTAGGGTTTTCGAGAGCGTAGGGTTTAGGGTTTAGGGTTTAGGGTTTAGGGTTTAGGGTTTAGGGTTTAGGGTTTAGGGTTTAGGGTTTGCGTGTTGCGCTGCAGTGGCTGGTGGCTCGATACGGCGAGGGTTTGCGTTTGGTGTCTTTGTGTCTTTTGCTGATTACAATTTGCTGCTTTGCTGCAGCAGCAGCAACAGACCCCGGCATAATTCCCCGCCATGTGCTGCTTTTAAAGAATTAAATTAATTAAATTAATTAAATTAATTATTTAATTTATTTATTATTTAATTTAATTTAATTTAATTAATTAATTAAATTTAATTAATTCGATTCATTTAATTTAAGTTGATTTTATTTATTTGTTTAATTGGCTAGATTTGGTTTAGTTTGACTTGTTTTGGTGTAGGCTGCTTCTTGTTTAACTTATTATTAATTAATTAATTAATTAATTAATTAATTAATCAAATAATTAATTAATTAATTAATTAATTAATTAATTAAACAAAAATGATTAAATAATTAATTAATTAATTAAACAAAAATGATTAAATAATTAATTAATTTCGTTTACTTTTCTTTATTTTCTGGCCCCTGCTGTTTATTTTTATTTTTACTTTCATTTATTTCTTTTTGTTTCTTTATTTGCCTTTCCAATTTTCTTTTTTTTATCTTTTTAATTATCTCTTTTTATTTATAATTGTCTTCTTTTGTTTATTTAATTTTTATTTCTAATCCTTTTGTTTATCTCTCTCTGTTTTTTATTTATTTCTTTTTTCTTTGATTGTCTCTCTTTGCTTTTTAAGTCTCTTTTTATCTTTTTTAATTTTCAGTTTCGTTTTTTCGTTTTATTTTCTTTTATTTATTTTATTTTATTTCATTTTGTTTTTATTTTTATTTTTCTTTTTTCCAGGAAAGTCCTTTGATGGTCACAGACCCCACCACGAGACAGGTAAACCCTAAACCCTAAACCCTAAACCCTAAACCCTAAACCCTAAACCCTAGAGATTAGGCGCAGCCGTTCCCTTGCTGCTGCTTCTCTTTCTTGACGTGAAGGACTGCAGCACCCCGCCTAATGCTGTTGCTGCTGCTGTTGCTGCTGCTGTTGCTGCTTCTATTGCTGCTGCTGCTGTTGCTTCCACTGCTGCTGCTGCTGCTGCTGCTGCTGTTGCTGCTGCTGCTGCTGCAGAGCAGAAACCGGCTGCCTCCCCGGCACCAAGACGTGCTGCTCTTTGCCCATCCAGTGCGCCTCAAGTACTGTTCAACCTGTAAACCCCAAACCCTAAACCCTAAACCCTAAACCCTAAACCCTAAGCTCAAAACCCTTCTCTCCTCAGCGTATGTTATTGTATTTTTGTCTTCGCATTGCTCGTTGGACTCCGCCGCTGGCGCTCAGGGCCCCGCACCTAGGGCCTAGCGTTTAGGGTTTAGGGTTTAGGGTTTAGGGTTTAGGGTTTAGGGTTTAGGGTTTGTGGTTAGGCAGCATCTACAGACCCCCCAGGTCTGTGCACTGCGCCGTCTGCGATAACTGCGTCGAGCGTTTTGACCACCACTGCCCCTGGGTGGGAAACTGCATAGGCCGCAGGAACTACCGGTAAACCCTAAACCCTAAACCCTAAACCCTAAACCCTAAACCCCAAACCCTAAACCCTAAGCTTGGACCACGCGCGGGCGCTAGGTCTGAGGAGGGGTCCTGTAGCGTGCCTTTGCTGGCCTTTCGTTTGGAGCCCCCACGAGGGTTGCAGACACTCTAACCCCAAACCCTAAACCCTAAACCCTAAACCCTAAACCCTAAGGAGTAAGGGTTGATTTGAGGGTTTAGGCTGTGTCTGTTTCTGCTGCAGATACTTCCTTTTCTTCATAAGCTCCTGCTCGCTGCTTTGTCTCTATACTTTCGTCAGTTACTTCCCTTCAAACCCTCCTCTTTTCAGGGTTTAGGGTTTAGGGTTTAGGGTTTAGGGTTTAGGGTTTAGGGTTTACTCGAACTGCGCGCCGTATTTGTTTATTTCCTTACTTGTGGGTTCTGTCCCTCTACTTATATTTATCCTTATTTATTTATTTATATTTATTTATTTATATTTATTTATTTATATTTATTTATCTTTAATTTTTTTTTATTTTTAAATTTTAAAAAATTTGTTTTTATCTCCTGATGTTTCGGTGGACCTTTTGCTGGGCAGAGGCGCATTTGCTTCTGTGCCTCTTCTGCCTCCTTTTGCTGCTGCTGCTGCTGCAGTTGCTGCAGCAGCAGCAGCTGCTGCTGCTGCTGTTGTGTGTCTCCCGTGGCCCTTCCTCGCGCTGCAGCGGTCGCTGCTGCAGCAGCTGCTGCAGCTTCTTGCGCCGTTTTGCTGCAGCGCTCGCTGCTGCACCAGCTGCTGCAGCAGCTGCTGCAGCAGCTGCTGCTGCTGCTGCAGCTCGTTGTTGTGTGGTTTGTGTCTGCTGCTGCAGGCCACTTGTTTGCTGAAAGTGGTTTGTGTCTGTCTCTCCTTAGCTGCTGCTGGGGCTGATGTCTTCAGCAGCTTGTGGGCTTCTGCAACAGATGCTGTAGTGGTGGGGTTGTTGTCATTTCTTTTTTCCTGGTTCGTCGTGGCTCTTCTCTGCTACCACGTCTTCCTCGTGAGCTGCTGCTGCTGCTGCTGCTGCTGCTGCTGCTGCTGCTGCTGCTGCTGCTGCTGCTGCTGCTGCTGCTGCTG